CTCCAGCACCTCCAGTAGACAAAGGTCCAGCACCACTCCTAGCTCCAGCAGCGCGACGCTGACGGTGACCGTACCAGTCCTGGAGCTGCTGTGGGGTGAGAGGCACACGTGGACGAAGGCGGCTACTCCAAGGAGACCGCGCAACAGCAGACTCAGAACCCTCAGCGCCAGCACCCCCAGCTGCTCCAGAACCTCCAGCGCCAGCACCCCCAGGCTCCTCACGCGTAGGCTCAGTACTCGCAGACTCGGCACCCGCAAGCTCAGCACCTCCAGGCTCCTCACGCGCAGGCACAGCACCCTCAGACTCGACACCCCCAAGCTCAGCACCGCCAGGCTCCTCACGCACAGGCACGGCATCCCCAGACTCCGCACCCCCAGGCTCAGCACCCCCAGAGACAGCACCCCGAGCAGGACCACCTCCAGCAGGACCTGAGTCACCAGTGACCTCAACAGGCGCAGGTACCGGAGGGTCTACCTGAGAAACACCTGAAGGAGCAGGACCTGGCGCGGGGAGGGGGTCTACCTGGGGAGGACCTGGAGCGAGAAAGAGCGGCGGGGGGGGGCGAGAGACAGTGCGGTAGGGAAAGAGACGGTAGAAGGGAACAGACTCGTCAAAGGTGACGTCCTGAGACGCAAAGACACGGCGCGAGGTGGGGTCGTAAAACTGCCAGCCAGGCGCGTCAGGAGGAAAACCAAGGAAGACGCAGGGAATGGCACGAGCAGAGAGCTTGTCCGCGGTGAGATCGCGGACAAAGGCACGAGCACCCCAGACCCGGAAACGCGACGCATCGCCAACCTCCCCCGTCCACAGCAGTGTGGGCGAGGTCTCCGGCAAGGAGACACGGGGCCAGAGGTTGAGCTGATGCGCGGCGTACCGGACCGCGAACGGCCACAGAAAATGGGGAGCCGCCGCATGGATCATGGAGGTACGAGCGACCTCCATGACTAAGCCAATGCGGCGCTCAGCAACCCCATTCTGCTGCGGAGAGGCCGGAAGCGTGAACGACTGGGTGATGCCGTGCTCCGCACAGAAGGCTGCCAAGAGGTCAGAGGAGAACTCACCACCTCTGTCAGAGTGCAGACGCAGGACAGGAAAGTCCCGCTCGAACCGCTCGCGGAGCTGGAGACGCACAGCGCGGATCCAGGGGATCAAAACAGCAGGGACGTCTCCCTTGCTGCGTAAGGGGAAGACCGTGGTGTAACGCGTGAAGTCGTCGACAACCAGCAGAAAGTACCGCTCACGGCCCTGTCCCTGGACGCGGGCTGGGCCCCACACGTCCAGGTGAAGCGTCTGCAGGGGAGCCTCTGTGGGAGGAAACGAGGAGGAGTGAGGAGCGGCGCGCTGCCGCCCCTCGACGCAGGGAATGCAGGGCAGCGCAGGCGAGGGAGGGAGGGCAGGCAGAGACCTGGGAAGCCCAGAGACCAGAGAGCGAGAGTGCATGCTACGAAGGCGAGGCAGGGAGGGGTGACCAAGGCGGTGGTGCCACAGGAGCGTGTCGTGCGACAGGCGGCGGCACTCACACTGGGTAGCTACCTGAGCAGACGCGTACAGCTGTGGAGACAAAGGAGCGGAGCGTGAAACAGTGGTGAGGGTGTACAGACTGGACCCCGGCTCACGAGTGAACGTGGCCAGGTGGCGGCCAGTCTTGGAGCACGTACAGATCGCCACACGCTGCCCTCCAGGAGTCCAGGTGTCAACCCAGTGATCCTGGAGGACGGCGTTGCTCACCAGGTTCGTAGAGAACGAGGGAACGAGGAGACCTGACAGCTCACCAGACGGGACCGCCGGGCACGGGAGCACAGTCGTGCCGCGTGCAAGCACTGGGCCCCCAGAGGGGTCAGCCAGGGAGACAGGGACAGGTGCAGGGAGCGGAGTGACGGTGGTGCTATCACGAAAGAAACAGCGGGAAGCACCAGAGTCAAGTGTAAACGTGTGCAAGGCCTGAGCCGACTCAGTACCAAGGGGAGCAGACTCACTAGCACCTAGGGCTGCAGTCCTTATACCGGGGTCAGGCGGCACACACAAGTAGCAGTCACCCTCAGCACTAATAGTCAATGCATACATGGCAGCAAGAATAACATCATAGTCCAGATCAAAGATAGGCACATCACGCCTAAGCAGCTCTGCCCAGTTGGGGAACTCAGTAGCATCAGGATACTTAGTACGCCAGGCGTCACTAAGCCTAGCAAAACAACGATACTCAGTGTGAAAACCGTTGCAGGGGCGACCCTTGCGGGGGCCAGTACGAATGACATAGGGGCAGCGGTCAGAACCCCGAGACGCCCCACGCCCAGCATACCAGTCATTGAGCTGCTGGGAGGTGAGGGGAGGAAGCTGCTGCTGCTGCTGTGGCTGTTGCTGCTGCTGCTGCTGCTGGCCACCCTTCTGGCCAGATCCACCCCCACTCCCACCTCCACCGCCACTGCCGCTGCCTCCTCCCCCACCACCGCCGCCGCCGCCTCCACCGCTCCCGGTCCTGCCGCCACCCCACCCACCGCCTCCACCCCCACGGCCACCCCCACCACCTCCACCACCCCCGCCGCCTCCACCACCGCTCCCTCCACCGCCACCTCCGCCACCCCTGCCACCCTTGCCGCCCCTGCCACCACCACGCTTCCCACCAGGAGCGGAAGCCGCTGCGACCTTCTCCGCACCGAGGAAGTCAACAGCAGTAGCAGCAGAGGCGTAGGAGGGGTCAAGAGGGGAGGGGGAGCACCCCTCAAAGAGGGGAGTGCGGGGAGTGCCACGAGCAGCACCGACAGCGAGGATGTTCTTCTCTGCTGCGACCAGCTGCTGCTCGAAGTCGTCCAGAGTGATAGTTGGAGGATCCTTGGCAAGGAAGTAATCCCTGACAGAGCGAAGAGTGTCAGGGAGGCGGGTGACGAGGATGTAGAGGGTGAAGTACAGCGGGGGGGTGTTCGTGGCGAGGAACTCGGCGGTAAGAGCGGCTCGAAAGCGGGCGTCACTAGCGCGGAGGTGAGTGATAAGGTCGGCAGCAGTGTGAAACGAGGCTAAGTCTGGGAACAGGTAAGGCAGGATGAGACTACCAACGGTGGCTGTGGTCGGGGCGGAATAGCGGGCAACGACAGCATCATACAGCGTCTTAGCAGTCTTAAGCTGGTTGAAATGCGCGCGCTCAGAGATCGGTAGGTGATTGCGAATAACAAGGCGCGCGACAGCATCGCGGAGCTCCCACTGTGCTCGTTCAGGGGCAGGAGCAGTCTCAGCAGGAGTAGGGACAGTGCCGGTCACATAGGCTAGCAGGGACACTCCGTCTGCGACGTCAGTCATAAGGTAAAGGCGCAGGTCACTAAGCCAGGTGTCAAACTCGATGGGGCGGCCGTCAGGCTCAAAGGCGAGAACAGTAAGGGTCGCCATGGTTGTAGCGCAGGCAAAAGTAGCAGGCTCAGGCAGCAGGCTCAGGCAGCAGGCTCAGGCAGCAGGCTCAGGTAGCAGGCTCAGGCAGCAGGCTCAGGCAGCAGGCTCAGGCAGCAGGCTCAGGCAGCAGGCTCAGGCAGCAGGCTCAGGCAGCAGGCTCAGGCAGCAGGCTCAGGCAGCAGGCAAAGACTGCAGGTTCAGGCAGCAGGCTCAGGCAGCAGGCAACTGTAGCAGGTAAGGAAGCACGCAGTTTTGTGACAGGCCGCGCGTAAGGCAGGTAAGCGCACGACTCACGGGCGGCTAAGTGCTCAGATCGAGGCAGTGGCGCACAGGCAGGGCAGGGCACGCGCTGCTGCGGGCTGCGCGCGGCAGCGGGCTGCGCGCGGCTGCGGGCTGTGCGTGGCAGCTGGCTGTGCGCGGCGACGGGCTGCGTGCGGCTGCGTGCGGCTGCGGGCTGCGCGCGGCGACGGGCTGCGTGCGGCTGCGGGCTGCGCGCGGCGACGGGCTGCGCGTGGCTGCGGGCTGCGCGTGGCTACTGGCTGCACGCGGCGGCGGGTCGCGCGTGGCGGCGGGCTGCGCGCGGTGACGAGCTGCGCGCGACAGCAGCGAGCACGCGGGCGGCTAAGGCAGCGGGGCGCGCTAAAAAAAAATGCACGCGCGCATGCAGCCGAGGCGCGCGCGGGCAGCAGGCAAGGTAGGCACGTAGGTATAGCTGTAGGGAAAGTAACTCATGAGTAGGTGGGCCCCAATCTTAGGTCCTTAGGACCATTGCTCTAGATGCCATGTTGAGATAGCTAGGCAAGGTGAGTTGACTATCGAGAGAAATTTTACAAGTAGGAAAACCCTAAGGGGTTATCCCCTATAACATCTACCCCACTACAGCCTACCAATATGTATCACATATATATATCATTTGACACCTTATCTGACAAAAAATGTCGCTATAGTCTGCTCTGTTATAACGCCACAAAATTTCCTTCGACCTGAATTCTGTTTTTAGTTTCGCGCAAGCTCGAAACCACCGTACATCCAACACAACCGAAGTAAAAACGCTGTACCAACCCAATTTGGCACGTGCGGGGCGAGTTGGGTGCGAACCTGCTGGCGGCTGCAGAGACAATGGGGAAGGGGGTGCATTGTTCACCAATTTTTCAGCATAGGTTCTGCACTGCTAACCCTCGTAAACACTGTTTCTAGTGACCTCAGCCATTGCTCGTGCAATGGACAGTGCGCAAGGATGGGGGAAACCCACATTTGGGCATGGGATGTGGCGTTCCACATTTTGTAGAGATGGCGTCATTTCACAACAGTTCTACCAGACATCTAGTAATCACCGATGCATCATTACCTGTGTGCGGAGTAAGTTCCGTTGAAGTATAAAAGTCAGATCGACCGTCCAACGTCAGCTGTGAGTCGATATACTATTGCTAGAGCACTACAGCGTTGGTCAGGCCAGATCTGGTCAGGTCAGGAGCAGCCTGTTTTTTCAGGAGCATCCTGCTTTCTTCTCAAGAGCAGCCTGTTTTCTTCAGGAGCATCCTGCTTTCTTCTCAAGAGCAGCCTGTTTTCTTCAGGAGCAGCCTGCGCACACGCTGGTAGCCCCACTGCGGACACACCCATCATGGCTGGCGCCACTATCGCTGCCGCATGGACACCTCCTCACGACGCCAAGCACGCAATCTCGCCGCCTGAGCCACATGGGAAGCATCACGGTCCGGATGGCGCCAGCAGCACCACGGGCCATCATCACCGAGCTGAATCTGATTCGCTTTTGAGAATGAGAATTCTCAAAAGCGACCACGCAGCTGTGAGGCATGGCTGTGATGGAGCGCGCCGGCATTCCGTGGCGAGCATGGCGCCGCGCAGCCCGTGGGAGAAGCACCTGCTGCGAGAGCACCTGCTGCGAGAGCACCTGCTGCGAGAGCACCATGCGGTGGAGGTCGTTCAAGAGCACAACAGGGAGGTGGTTGAGGGGCAGAGCATGGCGGCTGGAGGAGAGACTGTGGAGTGGACGCAGCAAGCCCGTGGGAAGGCGGTGCAGGAGGGTCACGTGAAGCATGTGGAGGAGCACGAGGCATTTGCGAGGAAGCGGAAGCGCTATGGTGCTGCTGATGGTGCTGCTGATGGTGATGGCCGTCGCACCATGGGTGGAGAGACAGGACGCTCTAGTGGCAGTGGCAAGTCAAGGCGCTCAGCGGCCGGCAGTCCGTCAGAGATCGCTGCTACACCCAGTCACCCTGCGGCTAGCTGCCCGGAGGGACGCACAGCCCTGCCGGAGCTTCACTGCCGCAGCAGCCGTGGCACCGCCAGTGCAGGCAGTATCTCTCCCCGGCGCAGCTGGGTGATATACTTCCACGCCAAGCTCTCAGAAGGCCTTCCCCTGCCCCTGCCGCTGCTTCACTCGCACAGTCTGGCCCTGCCCATGCCCCAGCCGTTTGAGTCGCCTGAGTCAGGTAATCGTGGTGGCGCGAGTGGGGAAGTGGGTGCGAGGCAGATGGTGGAGGCATGTGTTGCAGCAGGTGAGGGTGTTGCAGCAGGTGAGGGTGTTGCAGCAGGTGAGGGTGTTGCAGCAGGTGAGGGTGTTGCAGCAGGTGAGGGTGTTGCAGCAGGGAGCCGCTGCTTCACTCCCCAGTCGTCGAGCCCATCGGTTGCTGTGTCACCACGCTCGAGCCGGGCAGGTGAGGTCACCACCATCCCTGACCTGAACCTGCCGGCTGCTGCTGATGCCAGTGGTGATGCTGCTGGTGATGCTGCTGGTGGCGCTGCTGGTGGTGGGTCAGTATCGACAGAATGTGAAAGCTTTAAGTGTGCATGTGGAAGTCATGGTTTCTATTGTACAGCATCAGCAACACATGGGCTGATCGTATCTGAAATGTATCCGTTAGAATCCGAAGGTGCTGCCTCGGATTCCATTGGCTTGCAGACCATTCACATGCAGCAGCACCACCACCACCAACACCACCAGCAGCAGCAGCAGCAGCAGCAGCAGCAGCAGCAGCAGCAATGTCATCACCACCATCAGGAGCAGGAACAATTGCAGCAGCAGGGTCAGAACCGAGGGTGTCATATACAGCGCACGACTCACGAAGGCATTTCAGACGTGGAGCGTAGGAATCAACTCATCAAGGAAATCATGCGTTACAAAGCAAGCAATCCTTTGCTTTTCTCCACAATAAAGTAAGCCCCCTTTCTTCCCTGGCTTGTCATCGGTACATTGTACATTACCCACCCCTGAAACACATACTGCACTCAGAAACCCCTGAGCACCCTCCAAAAGCCTCTCCTCTCCTCTGGATATACCAGATTTTTAAGCAAGTACCCAATTACCTTCACCAGTACCGTATGCCCATGGTATGAATTTCCAGTCAACATTAGTCATCGCCAGTCAAGATGTAATTGAGAGTCTCAAACAGGTCTTGCAAGGCCTTCTCCTCCCTCTCTCCCAACCCCGTGCTACCGCCCTCCATCCCTTTGAACACCTCCCTTTTGAGCACAATCGCCGTTGCACCTGCTGCCTTCATCATCCGAACGTCCTCCACTGATGAGGCGCCCTGTGTGGTAACCAGGTAACCAGCACAACAGCAGGCGCGTTTCGGTTTTAGTGCATCCGTGGAAGATTGTAGATGAATACGAATGCATGGAGCCAAGAAAAGGAGGAAAATTTATTGAGAATTCTCAAGAAAACCCTTACGAGGGCTACAATGCTTGAATGGCCTCTTGATCTTGTAAATGCAGCATGCTACAATGCAGCCTTTTACAGAAGCATTGATGTGTAATGTACTGTTCAGTAGGCACTTTCCTGGCACAATAAAAAAGGTGAAATTGTGCATGTGGTAGGCGACTCACAACGAGAGGCACAGCAGCTCCGAAGGGCATGGAGGAGAGCAGCGACTTGGCAACGCTCTGTCTGAACCCTGGTGCTGAGACCTGAGGGGGAGCAGGGGACAGACGCGGGAGACAGGAGATGGGTGGTTTTTAGGTATCTGTCGCTAGCCGTCTGTCAACTCACAGCTAGCCGTCTGTCAACTCACTGCTAGCCGTCTGCCAACTCACTGCTAGCCGTCTGTCAACTCACTGCTAGCCGTCTGTCAACTAACTGCTAGCCGTCTGTCAACTCACTGCTAGCCGTCCATCAACTTACTGCTAGCCGTCCATCAACTCACTGCCAGCCGTCCATCAACTCACTGCCAGCCGTCCATCAACTCACTGCCAGCCGTCCATCAACCAGGGCTCTCGGTATCCGGGTAAACACTCTGAAACTCAGGTACATTCCGTCTGTTTTTTCGGCTAGCCCTGATTCATCAGAATCGTTTTAAAAATCATCCGGACCATTTCCGGATGATTTGGCTAAGCGATCGGGGACTTCAGTATTGTTTCGAAAACAATCCTGATATTTTAGCTCGGTACCAGTTCGGTACCAGTTCTTGTGTAGGATGTCGAATTCAACGATGCCCATAAGTGCTGTCAGACATGATGTAAATCTCAGGGCTGTTGGTCCTTGCCCACCCAACTTAGACGTTTTAGAGCCACTTGCGCCTAGGGTGATAGAACTGCTCCTGTGCATTTTCGGATTTTCGGAAAAACACATGGACGCGGAAGGGAAACTTTCGAGGGAATACTGATTCTTCAGGGTCTTTTCTCAGGCGAACCCGGAGCCTTCCGTGCCTTCAAAAACGAAAGATTTGCCCTGCCATCAACTCACTGCGAGCCCAAGCGAGAGGTTGAGGCCGTAGAGGGAAATGTTTCTTGAGAATTTCCAGCGCAACATGTTTCTTGAGAATTTTCAGCGCAACATGTTTCTTGAGAATTTTCAGCAAACATGTGCAACAAATTGACTCACCGCGAGCCCAACGGAGAGGTTGAGACCGTATAGGGGAATGGCGAGCGCCTCTAGTCGCTTCAATTCCTCCAGATTCACCACCTGATGATCTTGACAGCGGTGGGGATGGATGGCAAGTGCATGAGGGGTGGAAAAGGAAAACCATGGTGGTGAATCTGGAGGAATTAAAGATACAGCTGTTGGGGTGATGACTGGTTCTATTCAGCAATGAATGATGCTGATGATGCTGATGATGCTGATGATGCTGGTGATGCTGCTGATGCTGATGATGCTGACGGCATTAAAGGTGGTGTTGTGCATCGTCGATGGATCATTCACGGTTCTAACTTTGTAAGGTTGTCTGCGTTGACTCACTTGCTTGACTTGCGTTGACTCACCTGCTGGATTTGCGTTGACTCACCTCTACTGCCACGTCAATTCCCAGTCCAAAGGCAAAGGCGAGCATTGGAGCAGTGGCTGCACACATGCACATGCACATGCACATGCACACACATGCACACACATGCACACACATGCACACACATGCACACACATGCACACACATGCACACACATGCACACACATGCACACACATGCACACGCACATGCACATGCACACGCACATGCACATGCACACGCACATGCACATGCACACACATGCACACACATGCACACACATGCACACACATGCACACACATGCACGCACATGCACATGCACACACACATGCACATGCACACACATGCACACACATGCACGCACATGCACACACATGCACACACATGCACGCACATGCACACACATGCACACACATGCACACATCGCATACATGTGTGTTCAACCTTGAACACACATGCATACACACATCTATGTATGCATCCATACATACATTCACACATGCATTTATGCACAAATTACGCCACAAACAGACATGCACACATACAGACACGCAAACATGCAATAACGAATATACAAACACACAAGGCGATCAGATAGCAGCAGCTGGTTCCACTGGGCTGGCAAAGCATCACAGCCAGGGGGGTTATCTTGGGCTGTGACTGCATTGGCTGGGTCCTTTGAGCAGCATGCTTTTGCATGTCGGATTGACGCCAAAGCCAAAGCAGCAGCCAGGATTGCGGCCATCAGAGTGCAAAGCATGGCAGCCAAAGGCGACCATCTAGCTGCGTAGTGCAGCATTGCAAAGGAGTATTCAAAAGTATCTTAGAGGATCTTCAAGGATCTTAGAGGATCTTCAAGGATAGAGGATATTATGTTGGGCTGTGGGGAGGTGCTGAGGAGGGTGTGGAGAGTCACCTTTATTCAAAACCCCGTGCACTACATGAAAGGCTGCCGCTCCTGCCTCCGCTGCTTCTGCCACCTGCACTCACTCACTCACTCACGCACACACAGGCACCCTCAACCCCACACTCCCTCACTCACGCACACATGCATTCCCCCTTACACTCACACTTCCTCACACTATCACAGCTCATCCCCCCACCCATGCAACATCCCCAGACACACATCCCCACCACCGCACAGACACACGGAGTCAGTGAGTTAACAGTGTGTTCCCCAAGACCAAGGAAGTGGGTAGCACTGCGGAGTGGATGACTAGCTAGCAGTGATAAAGCTGTATCAGGAGCACCTGGATGGGATGTAGCATCCAGTCTTTTACAATGATTGGCACTCCAGGAAGTGCTGGTGGGCATGGAAGAGGGATGGAGAGGAGACGGGTAGACGGACATAGGGAGTGTGAAGATGGTAAACGGGGTGACATTCACCTAGGTAACGGAATTGGGAAAAATAATGCCAAATTTGACACGCATGGGAAAATGACGAGAATGGAGAAATGAAACGCGTGGAGATACAGGAGCATGCGGAAATGTTACGCACGAGAGAAAAAGAAGAAAAACAAAGTGAGGATATTTATTTCCCACCCCCACCTCCCTCCTTCCCCCCCCCCCCCCCCCCCCCCCCGAAAAAAAAAGCATGAAATGAGTTTAGAATCTATGGTCAGAGTCTTGCCGTCAGCTGCAGCGCACCTCTGGATACAGCTCTGACGTCAGCAAGGCCATCCGGGGAGATCTCCTCATCACAGCACACCATCACCGTGTCCGCTCCTGGGGTGGGGGGGGGGGGGAGGGGGGGGGCGAGAGAGGAGGGAGGAGACTTTGAGTCGACTGAATAGTCACCTCATCACAGCACACCATCACCGTGTCCGCTCCTCGAGGGGTGATGAGGGAGAGGGGGAGTACGAACGAGGCTGGCTGGCGGGGTCTAGTTTTGAGGCGCCTCAAAACGAGGCTGGCTGGCCACCATAGTACGAACGGGGTGGTTGGGCGAGTACAAGGATTTTTTTAGAATTCTCAAAAAATCCCTGTCGCATGTCGGCACCCAAATGAGGAAAAGCGATTCAGAATCAATAACAAGTGGCTCGCTTTTGCCACCACCAACCATGGGGCTGCGCAACGCCAGCTGGCTGGTTCCACGCACGCGCCCAGCCAACCCCCTACCCCTCTACCCTCCCACCCATCCCCGCACGCACCGAGGGCGATGTATCGCTGGCAGGGTAGCGCCTGGCGAGGCTCTCAGGGGACTCTGACAGCTGTCTCAGGTGCGCGCGCCACCTCCACCACCAGCAAGCACCATGCGCCCCCCCGCTCCCCCAATCTCCCCCCCCGCTCCCCCAATCTCCCCCGTCCCCCCAGGCCCCTCCGCATCCACACACGCACGCACCGAGAGCAACGTATCGCTGGCAGCGCCTGGCGAGGCTCTCAGTGGACTCTGACGGCCGCGCGCGCGCCACCTCCACCACCAGCGCTGTGCGCCCCACTGGCTCCCCCTGGCCCCCAATCCCCCCAACCCTACAGTCCAACCACCCACGCACACACCAAGGGCGACGTATTGCTGGCAGCGCCTGGCAAGGCTCTCAGGGGACTCGGAGGGGCGTGCGCGCGCCACCTCCACCACCAGCGCCGTGCGTCCCCCCGCTCCCCCTGGCCCCTCCGCGCCCCACTCGCCCTCCCCGCCCCCCGCGCCCTCTGCGCGGCGCAGCAGCAGGTCGGTGAGCTGCGCGGGCGGGTGCAGACGCACTGCGCCCTCCAGACGGCGATTCACCTCGTCCTGCCCCAACTGCTGCAGCCGCGCCTGCGGGTGCGCGGAACGGGCGCGCGCCGAAGGGGAGGGGTGAGAAGAGCGAGCGGTGGGTATAGGGGGGGGGGGGGTCGTTGGTGAGAGGGGAACGGGAAGGGGGGTTGACGATGGATGGGGAGGAACGAATGGGGTCTGGGTAGCGGCGAATGCGGAGCGAGTCGTGGCTGAATGCCCATCTCCTCCGCCGCGCGCTCCCGCCCCTCTCACCTGCACGCTCCCGCCCCTCTCGCCTGCACGCTCCCGCCCCTCTCACCTGCACGCATTTTCAGAAGCCCGACCCACTCGTTTGAGACAGGTTACTCTGAATCCAATTCTGAAAATATTTGCGTGGGAATGACATTCTATACCTGCACCGTAGCGTGCTTTCGTCGGATGATGCTTCCCAGTCGAGACTTGCTCCCGCCTCCTCCGCCTCCATCCTCGCCGTCCGATGCGCATCGAATGGACAGCGATAGCCGTTGGATTCTCGGTTCCGCGGACTGCGGAACTGGGAGCAATGATGTGGGCGGCGCGCAGCGGAAGGACGAGCGCGATGCGAGAGAGGGGTCGGCGGCGCGGGAAATGTGAAAAGCAGGGGATGGACAAGCAGGTGAAGCCATGGGTATTGGACGGCACATGCGGCGAGAAATGCGGTTTGTATCAGCTCGGCCAGATTCCTCAGCTTTGACCCAAGTATTGTTGCCAAGGTTCTCGCTTTGAAGATTTGCGTTACGGAATAGTGAGAAGTAATCTTCATATATCTGGTATCAGCTTGGCTAGAAGTGAAATTCATTATTACAAGATTCACCTAGTGTTCCCGCAAAATGACAATTATGAAGTGGAAATACCGGTACGCCGATTATATCTTGCTTGATCGATATCCTAATACAAATAATTGGATCAGTCTATACCGTAGCTCCATTTGAAGCCTATCATGGCACGTACAACTGTCTTGATTCCACTTCCAAGATAACAGTAACAAATCATGTGTATCTGCTGCCAAACTCCCGGTCGAAAGCAATGTACCTATCAGCATGCACCCTACCGAGCGCCTTGGTCACTTGCAGCGCCATCTGCATATCCTCCCGCGTGATTGGCCCAAGCACATGCTCAGGCTGAGGCTCATATTCGCCCCCTTCTCCCTCCGTCCCCTCCAGCTCCTTCCCACTTCTGTTTACCCCGTCCATTTTCCCCCCCTTCCCCTCCATTCCCCCCATACCCACCTTCTCTCCCATCTCCCCCCTCTCCCCTATAGCCCCCCTCTCTCCCGCATCCCCCTTATCTCCCCTCGCCCCCGTATTGCCTCTATCCCTCCCATCAATGAGGGCCATGAGGCGGCGTAAGGGACGCATGGCAGCCTCTTTGCACAGCAGCCGCATGTCAGCACCTGAATACCCTTCCGTAGCCGCCACCACGCCCTCTAAATCAATCTCCTCCTCCCACACTTTCTCCCATACCCTGTCCTCTTCCACCTCCCTCTCCTTGTCCCTTGCTTCCTCCCCCCCCTCCTCCCCCTCCTCCCTCCGTTGCTCATGCTCCCTCACTCTCTGCTCGTCTCTTCTCCACTCTCCGCCACACCCCCCGTCGTCCTCCTTACTTCCTTCCTCCTCAATTTCCTTGCTCTGCGCAACCACACACCAGCTGCTATCTGCACAGCCATTGGCTTGCACCGTCACCACCGCGTTAGCACCCTTCAGATTCTGAGGCACTCCAGAACAGCCATTGGGCATCTCAGAGAAGCTATTAGAGAAGCTATTAGAGAAGGTATTAGATTGCACCGCCACCACCCCGTTAGCCCTTCTCCACTTACCCTCCACACTGCCACGGCCAGCCGTTTCTCCTCCACCCTCTTTTGCCCCTGCACCATCCACACACACCTCTGCAGCACCACCAATCCCCCCACTGTGAACACGTGTGCGTGCGCACACCTGTGTGCCTGTGTGCTCAGCCCTGGATGGGCGGGGCAGCAGTGCAGAGAGAATGGCTCTGCGGGCGTCCGAGTCGGGTAGAGGCACCAGGATCTGGGGGGGAGGGAGGGAGAAGAGGAGAAGAGAGGAGGGGAGAGCAAGAGGGTTACGGGCTATACGGTTGAGCAGAGAGTGGCAGCATTGCATTGAGAATGGCTCTGCGAGCATTTGAGTCCGGTAGAGGCACCAGGATCTGGGAGGAGGGAGGAAGGGGCGCGCACCAAGGTGAGGGGGGGGGACAAGAGGGGAGAGCAAGAGGGTTATGGACTATACGGTGAGCAGAGAGTGGCAGCACTGCATCAAGAATGGCTCTGCTCTGCGGGCGTTTAAGTCGGGTAGAGGCAAGAAGATATGGTGGGGGGGAGGGGGGTTAGAGGGGGCGCTCCAAGGTGAGGGGAGGGGGGACGGAAGGGGAGAGAGCAGATAGGGTGATTGTGCGTGGTGAGTGAGGAGTTGGAGGAGTGGTAGGTAAGCGGTGGACGTCATGTGGCAATGCCATGCCATACTATGCCATGCTATGCTATGCTATGCTATGCTATGCTATGCTATGCTATGCTATGCTATGCTATGCTATGCTATGCTATGCTATGCTATGCTATGCTATGCTATGCTATGCTATGCTATGCTATGCTATGCTATGCTATGCTATGCTATGCTATGCTATGCTATGCTATGCTATGCTATGCTATGCTATGCTATGCTATGCTATGCTATGCTATGCTATGCTATGCTATGCTATGCTATGCTATGCCATGCCATGCCATGCCATGCTATGCTATGCTACTCCATACGATGCCACACCATGGCTGCCGTGTCATGCTATGCTACGTGGTGGGACGTGGTGGGACGTCAGTGCAAGCTCACGCGCTTCTCCACGAAGGACAGTATGGCACTGGCCAGCTCCCAGGGCAGGTTGGTGGCATCCATGTCAAGGAAAGCCACACACCAATGACACGCCATGTGCTAGCATGACATGTACTATCATGCCATGCCATGCCCTGCCATGCCATGCCATGCCATGCCCTGCCATGCCATGCCATGCCATGCCATGCCATGCCCTGCCCTGCCCTGCCATGCCATGCCATGCCATGCCATGCCATGCCCTGCCCTGCCATGTCGTGCCACGCCAATGGACTCACCCTCTTCTCGAGGCGGCGAAGCATGGCAGTGTCGAGCTCCCAGGGCAGGTTGGTGGCGGCCAGCACAAACACCAGATCCGATGAGCTGCTCAGCCCGTCCATCTGCACACACAGCACGGTTCAGAGCTAAGTGCCTAAGTGCGAGTGGTGGCTAAGTGCCTTTCCTTCCTACCCTCAAACCCTACTTGCAAACTTAGTCTCCCCACTCTCTCCATCCACCCAATGTCCTCAACCCCTCGTTCTCCCACCCGAGTTTCCATCGCTGTTCTGACCCTCCTGCTCATCCCTCCCGCATTTCCCCTCACCACTACTCTTCCCCCATCTCCTCACACCACACCACCCTTACGTGATAAAAGTGATGTTTTGAGACGTCTCAAAACTACCACCACCCTTACGCCCAGCCCCACAACCACCCCCACCTGAACCAGCAGCTCCGTCTTTAACCGTCTGCTGGCCTCGTGCTCCCCCGTGCCACCCCCACGGTGGCTGATGAGGGCATCCACCTCGTCCAGGAAGATGGTGGAGGGGGCTAAGGCTCGTGCTACGTCAAACAGCATTCGCACCAGCTTCTCTGAATCGCCTGGTAGTGAGATGCAAGAGGCGGGGAGGGAGGGATACACATGGACTTCAGCTTGGTTCTTGCGTCTTCTCTGGACTTGTCTGACTTCTTGCTTTCTTCTTTCCTTCCTTTTTATTGCTCCTTTTACGTTGCTTTTTCTCTCAATGACCAGCTCTATTCTTGCTTGTGGTAGCTTCTCTGAATCGACTGCGCGTGTGGCGGGTGGGTGGGATGTCACCGCACGAGCAAGCTCACTCAGGCTCACAACGCCACTCAGGCTCACAACGCCACTCAGGCTGACGAGCGTGGAGGCAGAGACGTTGAAGAATGTGGTGCGACAAGAATGCTGCAAGCTCACTCACTCACTCACCACGCCTCACCACGCATCACCGCGCCTCACCGCTCATGACTCACTCACCGCGCCACTTGCTGACGAGCGTGGAGGCAGAGACGTTGAAGAATGTGGTGCGACACTCCGTGGCCACTGCCTTGGCCAGCATTGTCTGTGCGTGTGAGGAGTGAGGGGGTGTGGGGGCGTGGGATTGTTGCGGTGTGGGGTGGAGAAGTGGGAGTGCCGACGCAATAAAAGAGCCCTCCTACTATGCCTCGTGGCGCTCCGTGGCCACTGCCTTGGCCAGCATCGTCTGAAAGTGGGGGTGTGAGGGTGTGAGGAAGGATGGGGAAACATAGAGATGGGCGTTGGCAAACACCAGTGACAATAGAGGCTGAGAGAGTGAGTGGCAGTAGTGACAGAGGGGAGAGAGTGAGTGAGTGGCAGTAGTGACAGAGGGGAGAGAGTGAGTGAGTGCCACTAGTGACAGAGGGGAGAGAGTGAGTGAGTGCCACTAGTGACAGAGGGGAGAGAGTGAGTGAGTGGCAGTAGTGACAGAGGGGAGAGACTGAGTGAGTGGCAGTAGTGACAGAGACACTGAGTGAGTGAGAGTAGTGGAAGTACCTTGCCGGTTCCAGGAGGGCCGAAGAGCAGAATGCCCTTCCATGGGGCGAGCAGACCCGTGAAGTATCTGGTGACGCAGGGAGGGGGAAGGAAAAGGGGAGGGGATGGGGGAAGGGTGGTGTGCGGTACGGCTCAATTTAATACTGTGTGGTACTGAGGTGTGCTGGATAAGCAGGACGCCCTTCCATGGGGTAGACATAGAAAGGGGAAGGAACCAGCTAGAGCATCTAGCTGCTGCACTCTAGGAACATGATTGGCGTGACCACAGTCTCCGTGAATGGAGTCATTTTTTTAAATTCTCTTTTTGAGATACTCAAAAACCGACTCCGTGCAGTGCAGCCGCTCTCCAACTCACTCACATGTGCAACACCGCACAGCACCACAACAAAGCCATCTCAACTCATAGCAGCCAATCCAACTCACTGAGGATATTTGATGGGCATCGATGCAGCCTCCTTGAGCAATTCCTTCGTGCCATGCAAGCAGCCACTCCAACTCACAGGCCCCACACACACAGGCATAACATAACACAGCACAGCATGACACAACAGGCACACCACAACTCAGCACGACCTCCTCGAGCAGCTGCTTGTGACCGTGCATGCAAATGCAATAACTACAACTCACACGCGCAACTGCCATTCCAACCCACAGCACAACAGGCACACCACAACGCACTGAGAGTACTTGATGGGCATGACCACGGCCGCCATGAGCAGCTGCTTGGCGCCGCCCAGCCACTCCAACTCCCAGATGCAACACATCACCGCACAGCACAGCACTGCACCCCGTGCAACTCACTGCGGGTACTTGATGGGCATGACCACGGCCTCCTTGAGCAGCTGCTTGGCGCCGCCCAGCCCCTTCACGCTGCTCCACGTCACCTCGGGATTGCCGCGCATGATGTCCCGCCCCACCGCCTCCGCCAGCTCCCTCAGCTCCACCGTCGGATACATGGGCAGGGCCTTGCGTGCCGAGGCTTCTCTTGCGGCGGATGAGTGGGATAGCAGATGAGTCTGGGGGGTGCTAGGCATGCATTGCAGGGGCGGGAGGAGGGGAGAGGAGTGGGTGTGAGGTCCCGCCCCACTGCCTGCCTCCGCCAGCTCCCTCAGCTGCACCGTGGGATACATCAGCAGGCCCTTGGTTTTTGAGAATTCTCAAAAGCCCTTGCGCGCACAGGCCTCTCGTGAGGCGGGTGAGTGGGACTGCTGTAACGCCTGTGGGGCTTACACGTAAGGGTATGAGTGCATCCGCTGCGCCTCAAATATAACCCTCGTTTTGACCCAGTGGGTAGCGAGGTGTTACAACTGCAGAGGAGTGTGTGAGAATCAAGGCGGGAAGGAACAGGAGTGATGTTCCCTTCCCGTCCCCCTCATCGCCTCACATCAAACACCTCCCACAGGTCCACCGTGGGAACAGCGGCAGGGGAAAGGGGGGTTGTCTTGTGACGGATGGAGGCGAGAGTGTAGGAGGGAGGGGAGAAGAGCGGTTGCCTTGATGTCACGGATATTGTAGCATGTGGACACGTGGGGACACGAAAAGCATGCCCATGCCCATGCCATGCCATCTCACGCGCTGAATGACTGACCTGCCAACCACCCCTGCGAGGCTCCATGCTCCTTGTTGCCAGCTACAGTAGAATAGAAACTCCATGCAGATTTTTTTTTTTTTTTTTTTTTTAAGTGTCCCTACGGCATGCTGAGATGACTCACCTGCGGCCACTGCGAGAGTAATTGTTGTGCCGGCGATAATGAAATTACTCTAATTTATTTCCTTTCTTAGATGTGTCTTAGATGTGTCGTCAGTATTTTCTTTCTTACTGACCTGCTGTCCCTGCGTTATTGCATGCTGCCGGGAGCCTTGAGGGTTTCGGGCTGTCGGAACGGCGCTGTCCACAGTCGTTGATGCTGCCACGTCGGACGTGGAAGAAGAATCATCCGTGACTGCGATGCTGCCACGTAGGCCCTGCTCATACCGGTTCTCGAAATCCTAGAGAACAGCAGTTGGGGAGCAAATAGAGGGGTAATCATAGCAGAGGGAATAGGTCGAAAATAAGTGCAAATCAGATGGTGATGGCATGAAGGCATCGGATAAGCTTCAGGGCCCAAGCCCTTTATACATTGACCCTGAAGAGAAGCTGCAGAGACTAAAGGATGCCTGAAACGAATGCGAGGCATGAGATACTGAAACGAATACAAGTAGTCGGATGCCTGTTACAAGGTGTAGCATCGTGTCTGCGCGCGAGGGAAGCGGTTACTGCAATCTCGAGTATAGAAGAGCAGGCGAAGGATAATAAGAGGGCCCAGAACGCCGATAGATGTTAGGGACATGGTTTCAGGCGATAGGTGAATAACGAGAATCCTCAACGGGGCAATCATGAGGCGAGCTCTGATTTTTTTTTCGCCTACAGCCTCTTCGGATCGGACGGAGACGCGACGAACCTCGATGGTCCAGCGGGTAATGGCTGCTCCCAACACATCGGCGTCCTCCCCAAAGAGGAGCGTGAAAAAGCCCATGGCGGTCAGTACGAGATAGGATCTGATGCGCTTGTATAGATCGCTGAGATGTCATTAATGGATCGCGGGGAACGAAACGATCCAGTGCTCTATTGATCGACATGCGCCTGCCTTGGCCCTACGAGCGACAGACGAATGTCCGAGGAAAAATGGTTGCTAATCATCGAAACGAGAGAGCAGCAGCACAGCCATCGAACGCTGCTCTTCGTCACAACAGCGTCGCCTGTCCGTCACTTCCGTGTGACAACTCGATTGCAGAGAGAGTGCGGCGCGTGTACTTGCACGGCGATGGGAATTCCTTTTGACCAGAACCAGAATCGCAATGCAATACAGTACGAGCCCAGAAAGGAAATCCAAAATCATGCGGTGAAACTGGAAGGTGGAGGGGGAGGAGCGAGATGAGGAGGGAGAGCAAGGAGGACCCACACAACGATGAATCTTGCACAAAAGCGCGTGTCGCGCATCTTGCGTTCGACCAATGGCGTTGCTGCATCTGCCGCAAGAGGGGGGGAAAGAGGTTGCAGAACTGCACTGCACTCCACGAAGAGTCGGCGTATGGGTGACACCCACCCAAACCACCCTGCCGAGTCGCGTTCAGCCCCACAATATCGAGGCAACGAAATCTCACACTTGCATTATTTCTCGATAATTGCACACTCCCTAACCTCTGTTTTTTAGATACCCTAAACCATTCCTGGCTAGATACGACGGACATCCAGAATTTCAGGGGCTATCAATCTACATCACCACGGTGCAGTCCCTGAAAACTTATGCAATGTATTTCGAGTGATGAGTGGGGGGGGGGGGGGGGGGGGGGGGGGGGGGAGAGGTGCCCTGGAGTTCTGGTTGCTTTCCGCAATTCGCGTCAGGGGGTGCGGGAAAGTCCCCCAAATAATTCGACCTACGCCGTGAACTACCCTGCGAAAATGTTGTACCCAGGGTATGTACCCCAAGGGTGTGTGTTAAAGGGGTATGAGAAACATCTCTCCCAATTATTGAGAAACATCTCTCCCAATTGCTGGTTGCATCTACATAAGTTGCATTGCATCTGCTTATTCTGCTTTTGCCCACTGTAGTTAGTGCATCATTGCTGAATGTGATGCTGCACTGTTTACAAAACTCTACAACAAGGAACCTCAAGAAACATACATTAATATGTCCTACTGTGCCCAGTAGCGATCCATGGTCTTGAGAAAATTGGCCACTATTTCCTTGCCATTGCTCGTGATGATGCTCTCCGGGTGGAACTGCACTCCCTGGTGAGCGAAGGGAGGGGAGGGAGAGGAACGAGGGGAGTGAAAGGTCGGGACACTTGAGGGAGGGAGAGGGGCGAGACCAGGAATAAGTGAGAGGGAGGGAATGGAGCAAAGCAAGTTATGTGAGGACAAGGTGGGCCTGGCACTGGGCGCACAGCCATGACAAGGTGGGCCTGGCACTGGGCGCACAGCCATGACAAGGTGGGCCTGGCACTGGGCGCACAGCCATGACAAGGTGGGCCTGGCACTGGGCGCACAGCCATGACAAGGTGGGCCTGGCACTTGGCGTACAGCCATGACAAGGTGGGCCTGGCACTGGGCGCACAGCCATGACAAGGTGGGCCTGGCACTGGGCGCACAGCCATGACAAGGTGGGCCTGGCACTGGGCGCACAGCCATGACAAGGTGGGCCTGGCACTGGGCGCACAGCCATGACAAGGTGGGCCTGGCACTGGGCGCACAGCCATGACAAGGTGGGCCTGGCACTGGGCGCACAGCCATGACAAGGTGGGCCTGGCACTGGGCGCACAGCCATGAGAAGGTGGGCCTGGCACTGGGCGCACAGCCATGACAAGGTGGGCCTGGCACTGGGCGCACAGCCATGAGAAGGTGGGCCTGGCACTGGGCGCACAGCCATGACAAGCCCACCTTCAGGTCAGCTGAGTGTATCGACTGCAACATATTTACACCTTATGAATCACTGCCCACCTCCACGTGGGTGTACTTCTTGTGCCGCACAGCCATGACCAGCCCATCCTCCGTCCATGCAGTCACCTCCAGCTCATTCTCAGGAAACGTGTCCTTGTCTATCACCAGGCTGTGGTACCGGCATGCAGTGAAGGGGCTGGGGACTCAAGGGAGGGAGGTGGCGGAGAACAGAGGGGATTGGTTGAATGGTCGCTGTGGGGAACGGATCAGAAGGTGTGGAAGAGGACAGGCAGTCACCTTCAACTCGTCCTCAGGAAACGAGTCCTTGTCCTTCACCAGACTGTGGTACCGGCATGCAGTGAAGGGGCTGGTGGCTAAGGGGGGGAGGGGATAGTGGGGCGCAAATTGAGAGGGTGGTGAAAAGAAAAGGGATACGCAGTCACTAGCTGGTCCTCAGGGAAAGTGGCCTTCTCAATCATCACCAGACTGTGGTAGCAACATGCCGTGAAGGGGATGGTAGCGGGAAGAAGGGAAGTGGTGGAGAACTGAGGAGGATGGTTGAAAAGGTGGTTGTGGGGAACGGATCAGAAGGTGTTGAAAAGGGCATGCAGTCACCTCCAGCTGGTTCTCAGGACACGAACCCTTGCCAATCACCAGCTTATGGTACCGGCATGGAGGAAGGGGCAAGGGACAGAAGGGAGGGAGCAATGGGTTGCACAGGGGTCTGGCTGAAGAGAGCAAGCAGTCACTTGGAGCAATCACAAGGTTGCGGTGGTCCTGGCAGGCAATGACTGGGTTAAACGTGAATGAAGCCACACTGAGAGAGGTGTCTGTCAGTTAACTGACCGACACCGAGAGGTGTGTCTGACAGGGTCAGTAGGTGTCTGTCAGTTAACTGACTATCTCCACGCTGCCCTTCCTCTCGTCTCCACGCCCTTTTTGGCAGCCCGGCCGGCCAACAGCCCAGAGTCTATTTTCCAGGTGCCTAAAAAATGATCCCCCTGACAGCCCCTTGCTCACGCTCACCCACCTTGGCAGTCCGGCGAGCAGGCCTGAGTCACTGTCTGCCATGGAGTGCAGCACAGGCGACGTCTTGCCGTGCATTACTCCCCCTGGCGCCCGCACTATGCGCCCTGCCACGGGATAATGGTTCAGGATTGACTCGGAGTTTGAGGTTGGGTTTGCGCTTTGAGGGATGAGTGCACAGAAGCATGGTCGAGAGTTTAGGGTTCAGCGTTTCAAAGCTTGTAGCTGCAAGAGGCCGGGACAGGGTTCCGGGTTTAGAGTTGAGGTGAGACCACTCGAATACTTGATGCACTGCAACCCCATGCACTCGCCCACCACTACACCATACGCAACACCATACGAACAGAGCGCTCCACCTTATAAGCCTGCCCATTCAGCTTATCCAGTAGACCATGCATGATGCACCCCATGCACTGCAAGCCCGTATGGTCAAATCAACTCATCGTACCCCCATATGCCTGTCCCATGCACTGCAGCCCCATGCACACGCCAAAGAGCGGCACAGTGGGCCCCAGGCGCCGCACCACGTCCAGCGATATGCCCGAGTCGTCTGGCGTGCCTGGTGGGGTTAAGGGCGCGAGGGGAGGTGGGAGGGGGAAGAGGGGGGAGGAGGGAGGGGGAGGGAAGCGGAAATTATACACTGCGCAAGGCACATTAGAATGGCTGGCCTATGATATTCCCGCGTATAGTTGGGATGCGGATGTGGTAGTCGCACGCAGAGATCGTGTTGAAAGAATGGCCAGAAAGTGGGCAGGAGCAAATCCAAAGTTTGGAAAAGCAAGTGAGGTCGCTGAGAATGCATTGCGCGTGGAACATAAACACGTCACAAAAGCAGCCGTACACAATCAAACAGATTCGTTGTATGGCGTTGGAGGGCTCAACAGAAGAAGAGAGATCATATGGGTGACCTACCCGGGCCTGGAGAGATGAGCACGCCTCTGGGATCCATTCTGAAGGAAAGGAATGTGGTGAGGGAGAGGGGCAGGCAAGAAAGCATGCGGGATGGGATAAAGGGAAAGCGCGAGAGCAAGGATGAGGCGTATAGGCACATGGGAGAACACACTCGAAAAAAGCAGACGATTGACAATTGGTGCCTTGAGATTGAGGGATATTCAGGTGTGGTCTGCAGGCACGAAGTCGTACGCGGTTGCCTGGTCTGTGTGCGACACTGGTCTCCATGCTTGCATGAAATGAAGATCTCACTTCTGCAGCTCGTCTATGGTGATGTCATCATTGCGGTACACCACGTGCTCACAACCCAGATCGCCCAGGTACTGCTCACAGGACACCACACGCAGGCAGGCAATCACAACCACCGGCAGACAAGAAGAGACACCAGATTGAGAATATACATTCAGACCTATTCTCGCACCCAGGTCGCCCGAATACTGTTCACATCACAAACAGGAAACCACAGCCATCAGAGGAGAAACAGCAACCACGCAGCCGGTGGAGAAGAGAAAGAAGATGGAACATCCGTTTGAGCCTATTATTCTCACGTCCCAGTGGTCCACATGCTGCCAAGAAGTGACTGTCAATGGTAAGGAGGCAACTGCTTGAACCATGATTTTTTTTGCAGGCGTTGAAAATGAAACACTTGTACCTGGCATAAGTGAAAGTGGGTTACCTTATCTGGCAGAAGCGAAGGAGCGTCCCTCCTGGATAACACTAGACAACTGTCATAAGTACCATGAAGGCCGGTTTACCTGGCAGAGGTTGTAGGTAAAGCTGTCATAATTATCTACCACCACAACTGGCCCAGCACCCCGAAGCTCCTGCGCAGGCTCGGCAACAAGCGAGGCAGCAGCCTTGGCAGAGGTGGAAGCAGCAAGAGACGCAGAGCGGGGGAAGCAGACGGCGGTCAGGGGAGTGGCTGAAACCGATCCGCGGAAAACAGCCGGTGCTGGTGCTGGTTTATGAATGGAGGGGTGATCTCTGCAGGTTCCACGAGACATGTTTGAAGCGCTTGACTGAGTCAGGCGTGATGATGCTGAAACTAGGGAGGAAGGTCCTGCGATTGGGTGGAGGGGACGAAGAAGGGAGTGGGACGGTTGATGAGAGGTCGTTGCAATGAGGGGATGGAGATATCTGGCCCATCTCCGGTATTGCCATCCTTTCACGAGGAGGCGCTGGAACATTTTAGTTAATGCACGCAGTACGTATTTGCATTTCATGAACGTCTGGAAACTCCGCTTGGTGACGCATTCCAGCTGATATTCAGCGCAACAACAGCAGTAGCGTGACCACCATCACCCGAGGTAATTCTCATGCGCTATGGGACGAACCGACAGTGACGTGGATGCACCATTGAACGATGACCAGAGATTATCCAGGTGCATTGATACGCATCGACAGATAAACGTTGACTACGGTGTGTTGGAACACAAATGTACTAGCAGAGCGAAACATGATGTACGTGTGAGAGGTAGAGCGCATGGCTGACCTGAAAGAGCGACTGTCCGGGTCACTAAGGACGTCGTCGCGAGAGCCATGGCGGATGGATTTGACAGTGGAAAAGAACCGGGGGGTTACGGCTTGAACAGGACAACACCGAATCTGAGCAATGGAGCTACGCCAGTGCAGGGGTTGAAAGCCTGTTACTATTTCAAAACGAGGGGTACGATCAGCGAGACCATGCATGGAAGTGCTTTGTTATCGAATAGTTCTCAGCAGAATGCGCGAGAAGTTCTTCTGCGGGCGGATCACCTCGCTTTGTTCACCGATCACTGATCACTGCCAAACCTGGCAGGTTTGTCAGCTGTCAGGTCAACGCACGAGCTGACCCACCAGATAAACCACAAGGAAGCGCCTAGGGATTGCCTTGTGCTGCAATCCGCGCTGGCGGGGGTTGCGGCGGGGGGAGTGAAAAGGTTGGGTAACGGGGCAGCGGTGATTGGATAAATGAACTGCTTCTGACCAATCAGGTGGCCTGATCTGGAAGAACTGAACACCACTTTGAGGATGAAGCGTTTATCGTAAAAAAAGCACAAGCATCGCGGTTGACACTCAACGGAAGAATATACATTATGATACAAAATCCACTTGTTCTGGTGCATAATGCGTGTTAAGTACACATAATACATTACATACACAAAAATATCCAAAATTCATGTGGAAACAAACTTATCGCGCCCTAAAATGTGGCCCCCTCCCCCACATTCTCTAGTCCACAACACGTGGAGGGCACCTGTTTGGCAGGGGAGGTCCACAAAGCCCAGGATTGCCAGGCTGAAACGATGCCTTCGGAAACTGCCAAAACGCATGAGCAATCGGGCCGGTCAGGTTGTTTCCTGCAAGCTGCAAGTCATCCAGAGGCTTCATGGGATACAGCGCAGTCAGGGGGCCTTCCAGGTTGTTCCATGACAGGTCCAGGGACACCAAGTTGGCGAGAAACCCCAACTTGTACGGAATACCTCCGGAAAAGTTGTTGTAAGCAAGAGTGAGGTTCCGCAACTCGACTAAATCCGCGAGAAAGAGAGGGATTGGGCCCGAGAGGTTGTTGTGGCTGACGTCAAGAACGTAGAGGCTGCTGTTGCAGCTGGCGAGGCTGCGAGGAATGCCTCCTTGGAAAGAGTTGCCAGAGACGGTGAGAGCCATGAAAGCGGTGTTGGTGCAGCGGAAGGGGGGGATGCTTCCTGTGCCGGAGAGGAGTGGGGAAAGAATGGTGAAAAGAGGGAGACAAGTGTGAGAGCCATTCAGAGGGAAAAACACTTGTCAGGGGAATGAGAGTGTTGAAAGGCGAGACACTGCGAAATAACCGCTCAAGGACAATGAGGCACTCGGTGCAACGCTCACGAAACGGTTATCCACCCCGCTCACCTCTCAGCTTATTGCGATCCGCGGAGAACACGACGAGGCTGCTTGACTCCGTAATTCCCGCAGGGATGCCACCTGTCAGCTCATTATCGGACAGCCCCAGCTGCTGCAGGTTTGGCATTGCGCCGAACGACTTTGTGATCCCGCCCACGAATTTGTTGTTACTCAGCTCGATGTACACCGCGTTCGTAAGTAGGGCAAACCGCGAAATCGATCCCGTGAACGCGTTTCTGCCTACATCGAGGACGTCTATAGTGGACGCGATTCCCGCCAAAAACGGCTGCGAAACCACGCCGCTCAGCAGGTTGTTCGAGAAAATCCCCGCTTGAAGCGACGAAAGCCCTGCCAGCGCATGTGGTATACCACCAATTAGCTGGTTACTGCTTACATCGAGGTACTCCAGTTTCCCAAGCGCGCCGAGCTCCGGCGGAATAGGTCCGGAAAACGAGTTCTGGTGCAGGTCGAGCTGAACCAGGTTCGGCAAGTCGCCGAGAGCCTTCGGAATAGGTCCGGAGAGGTAGTTCACGCCGAGGCTGAGGGATACGAGACTCGGGCTGTAGCTGCCAGGGCCGTCGGGCAGCCCACCCGTCAGGTTGTTGATGTCGAGGGCGAGCGTCTCGAGTTTCGAGAGGCGGAAAATTTCCGGGGGTATTGCCCCTGAGATATTGTTCGAACGGAGGGCGAGATTGCGCAGGTTGCTTAGGAGAGAGAAGCTGGGAGGGATTTCGCCAGTCAAGTGGTTACTGCTAAAGTCGACGCTCGTCAACCAGCGGAGCTGCGCCAACTGCGGCGGAATCTTTCCCATAAGCATCCCGCCGTCTAAGTGTAGCCTCCTCAGCTGGTCTATTTTCGAGATCTCCGGCGTTAGCGAACCTTCGAGGAAGCCCTGCGAGATGGTCAGGCCGATGACGCGTTGCGGAGCCGCGCTTCTGCACGTGACGCCCTCCCAGGAGCAGATTGGGCGATCGGACGTCCAGGATTCGAGTACGTTGAGATGGTCCACGTGGATGGCCTGCTTGAACGCGACGAGGCCCGCTTCGTCATCGCTCACGCTTCCCGCGCGGGCCGAGCGAATCGTGAGCGACGCGAGTAGGGAAGAGAGGAGCAGCGGGAGGAGCAGAGAGCGGAGGAAGAGGGGCGGTTGGCTAAGTCGCGGTGCCATGATGGACAAATGGTGGTGTTCAGATCTAAATGAGAGCTTGTCGAGGAATGACGGCTCGATGTCTACAATGCTAGGTTGGTCGAGCACGGGAAAGTCGTTGTCTAGTCAGTGACGGCGGAACGAATACAGTCTGGCACTCTGGGAAAGGACGAGTTTTCGAGCTTGCTTCCAGCCTGATACATATTCGATAAGGCGGACGTTGGAAAGATGGGGAAGACTACGGTTGTGATTGGTGGAGAGTCGAGTCGAGATGAGTGAGAAAGGCACATTCATGGTTGAGATGGGGGTCGAAGTAGAATGCAGGACCAGAAGGGAGGCAAGCGGGGCTGGTTTGGGAGCAAGTTGGGTGGGTCCCATCCCATCCCATCCCATCCCACCCCAATCCATCCCAGACCAGACTTCCTGGGTCATTCTCCAGGGAGCAGGAGGGCTGGAGGAGAGCAGCAGATAGGTAACGAAAAACGATGCCTCTTTCAGCCGAAGAGCGATTAATTATCTGTGGTGTAACAGTCGCCACAAGCGTTTCGCGCATTTCAGACTGCCGCTGAACCCAAAGTTGCAAAAAGCAGCTTGAAGTATCTGTTCGTCTCCGCGGCTCGCAACAGAGAAATGTCTGTAAGTTTCGATTTGGTAAATCCAGCCAATCACATGCGAGAACGGACGCCTGTCGGCAGTGCCATTGCCAACAAATGGGCAGGAAGAGCAACAGCAAACAGCCACTTTGAAACCGTACAGCAAACAGTCACCTGAAGGCCATAGTGTAGTGTATTCGATCGCTTCAAGTTGTTTTCGCTAAAAAACGAGTGCACTACATGACGAATACACATTACATAAAAGCATATATAGCGTGATTTGGTACCTGATGATAGTGCATGCCAAGCCACCATTGTACCACCCAATAAAACAAGTAGGGTATCCCTGTTTTTGGCGATTTCAAGTTCAAGAATCTTGAACTTGAAATTTACCATGCTGTACTTGGGCTTTAACGGTGTATTCTAACACAGCTGCCTAAAATACTTAAGTATAGAAACTCAAAGTGGCTACTGTTCAGCTTTATGTACATTGCGAAGCCTCCAAATTAGCCTTAGCACAAAATGACACTAGCTTCTGTCATGCGAACCTTCACATTATCGAACCAACCCAAAAACTGGTACCTCTGGCACACAATGAAACAGCATGTGGGTCTCTCTGACCTGACAGTGTATCAGCAGCACAGCTGCCATGCGTGCAAGGGAGCACAGCAGCAATATGTATCACCCCCGTAATGGGGGTATTGGCGCTGAGGATGTTTTTGGTCCTCCACCTCCTCAAAGAGCTCCACCTAACAACTTGGACAAACCGTTGATATATGTTCAAATGCTGACTGCTTTCAAAGGCTGAGGCTGAGGTTCTCCAAGAACTGTCCATCCTTCATGCAGCGATTCTTGCTTCCCAGCTCCACCTGCTTGTTCATCCAATGGCATTGCATCTCCTTGCGGCACCTCTCCAGGACCTTGTCTGGCAGTTCTCATGAATTCCTCCTCTTGTGGATGCGACTCGTTACTGGAATAGCTCATCAGCAGTCCCAGGTATTGGGCATTCCTGCTCTCCCTTTCCTCTTTATTCAGCAGTCCCTTTCCTACTTCTTTGCCCCATCTTAACCCTTTCCCTCCTGTCTTAAGATCCTCTGTCCCCGTCCCCTCTTTTGCAACCATCAGAGGTTGCCTTGTGGCTGACACTGATGTTGCTTCCTGTTGACAGTGCAGCACCTGGATGGGTGTACACAAAAGGGAAGGAAGGCGAATCACAACACACAATGAAACATACTAGCTACAAATCAATTTGTCTTCATTTTATTTTTCATATTTTTTACGCTTTCACCCCTTGGCCCGTCACCACCGTACATAAACCTCTAGAAGCCTTGGAGACTTAGAAACTTGAAGAACCCACCTGAGTCTCCAAGGTGTGAGGGAGTCCGTTCATCCCTTCATCCAACAAGCTGGCGTCAGCATCCTCCCCTTTGCGCCGGTTGCGCTGCATGCGACGGTCACAGTCTGTCCGCAAAAATCCTGGCGCGGCGGACATACCGCGTGCCATTGGCAGGGAATCCCCCCCATGAATATTGCGCTTATTATCTGACACACCAGCCGCACAAATGCTGCTACAGTTGCCGTGGATGTGGTCGCATATGCTGTGTCTGCGCAAGGCTGACTGGCTCCAAATGTGCGGGAGTATCATATCAAGTGCTTGTGATGGCCCTGTGGCGTGGGAGATGGGCGGGGAGGGGGGGGGTTTGAAAGAATGTGGGGAAAAGAAGGGAGCTGGCAGGAGAGGAAGGAAAATATCTCCTAGAGGAGCAAAATTATAAAAGCAAGGAGGGGTTCTGGCAGGTTTCAAGTATTGAGTTACACGGCAGGGAAAATTCGGGGAGTCTGGGATTTATTAGGTCTTTCAGCTGACGTGACATTAGAATGCGACAAGGGTTGTTGAGGAAAAATTGCACGCCTGGGGTGGATCAGAATGCGTCTTACCTAAAATACAACCCGACGATGTCGGATAATAGCCTTCCAGCTCGTTTGGTGAACGGGGTCCGAGAATCACGGTGCGAGGCTCAGCATATTGAAGGTCGGGATGAGCGGCGAATTCGTCCTCTCCTCGGCTCACCTCGATGAGAACGACTTGTAGTCCATCCCCGTTACAGCGAGCGCGCATGGATTCGATACGGCGCGAGAGTAAGCAGCCTATAATGAAGACGGCGATGACCAAAGCGATCCAACAGAGCTCCAAACATGTCTGCAAGGTGAACAGGGAATGACATGGGAAACGCGGGTCGGCGCGGGGAGGAGGCGGGCACGTTGGGGTTAAAATGGGTACTGTCAAAGGTAAACAAGTGGGCTGCGGAGGTCTTATGTCCATCAACTTTAACTGTGTCTTAGGACGACGAAGCAAACTCCTGGGCGCGGGGAGGAGGCGGGCACGTTGGGGTTAAAATGGGTAAGAGAAATGGTGCGGAACACGGGAAGCAGGGTAAGCGTGCAAACGTTCAGGCATGCGGGAAAGAAGGGAGCGTACGAACAATTGGCCAAGCGGGATGATGCTCGCGACGACGTATCGCGAGAGGATACGTCGGGATGGCACAGTACCTCGAACGATCGCCAAAGGCATTCTTGAACGAAAGCTACCGCGCGATGCTGGCGACGAAGACCTTGCGACGTCGCAGCTGTCGCAGCTGCAGCTGAGGCGTGGAATAAGCTTCCTGCCAAATCCAACGCACGGGTTTCAAGCGCCTCGACACAACAAGTTTCCGCTACTGGCGCTGCTGCTGCTTGTACTGAGAGGCTTTCCGATAGGGTATCGCGAATCGCACATGATGCCATGTTCGCTGACGGCGTGCTGTCTGGTTCCGTCGCCGGAAGGAGCTCTGGTGGGTGCGGCGCTACTGGCGATTTATGCGCGCAGGTGCAGCTCAGTACTACGCTCGCGTCGACATCGACATTGGCAGAAGTAGTAACAGTTGTCAGAATCGACATCGACATAGTGGGTCTTTTATTGCCTGTAAACGCCGGATTCTGGCGGTGCACGAGGTGACGACTCGAATCGAAGAAGCTTATAGCGGGGAGCGAATTTCCGAGAGGCATTTTCCGAGACATAATCGAATTCGGGCTTCGAATGAAAGAAACGGTCCGGAACTGTTCTACTCGTCAGGTGCTGAGATCCAGTCGACGTGGTGATGCTAAGTGGCGACGATGCGTCAGGATTCCCTTCGTTAGGTGCTACTTTCCCTAATGTGTGGCATGAAAAAAGCGAGCGTGGTGCTGGAGAGAGAATGACCGCGATGAAACACGAAGGCGTAGTGTGCAGGAGATGAAGAGGGAGCAGGAGTGACTGAACTGACGAAATGGGCTAGTTTGATGTGACGTGACAGTTTCCAAACATCACATGTGGGACGACGAAGTTAAAATGGACAGAATTCGGAAGAAAAATGAACAAAAGCGATGAGCAACGCAAACAGGGCAAAGAGGAGCACGAAGGCGAGAGGCAGAAGGGGGGGGGGGGCGTTGGGGGGATGAATGGGGAGAACCAGCACTCACGTCGCATCACGTCTCGGCGGGAGCCGGGGGCCACAATTATTCGCGTCCGTGCTGCCCGCAACGTGCAATAATGGTGCTGCCCGCTTGAACTCAGCGCCTGCTGCTGTTACTGCACCGTAAACGCACCCGACCCACTTCACTTCCTCGAAAAGTCCGCCAGTGTTTATAGTAGTTGGCTTCATCATACTGTATATCAATCGCCCGAGCCCGTTTGGTATATAATAACCTCAATTGCACCAGTTTTATTGGTCAACGAAGGTTAGCGAAACCTGGTGGATCACTGCCAGCATTGCAGCGCGGTTGACCACTGATGAAAGCGACGTCCAGCTCGACTCTTTTCGGCGACACACTCGTGCCATCGCGAAGGAATCTTGCCAAGCAACTGCTGGTTGACTGAAAGCGTACTGTGCAGGGAATGGAATGAAAGAATTTTCGAGTGCCCGTGGCGGGCAGCGGTGACAAAAACCTTCTGGTCACGTCGCGAAAGCACTTCTGGAGGGCGGTCAGCCAGTCACGTCATGACGAGTGGGAAGGGGATCAACACACCCCATGACATAGCGCGCCCCGCAAAGATAGGGGTTGACGCGCGGCGCAATCGGAAGGTTGGAGGTACGCGCAGTGTCGCAGGTTGCTGCAATGCAAAGGTTCGAACTGTATGCCTCAGAAAGAAAAGTAAGGGCGTGGAAGATCATAGGGATCTTCCACGCTCTAAAGGTCGGAGGAGGATGTGCCACCTAGGCAAGGTTGTCTCTCGGCTTGGGGTCAAAGAGTTCTGGATGTCACTGGCGGTCCCTGCAGTCAACCCAAGCCATGTGTCTGGTAGGTCGTATGTGTAAATCCGCCCCATGTGTTACTTCACTAGTGCCATAAGCATTAGATTCACCAACATTTTCAACAGACTGTGATATTTCTTATGAGGGTCTAACTAGATAGGGCAGAGGATAAAACAAATAAAGAAAAAGGTTATAAGATGCTAATTCGGTAAAATAAACGTGTGTGAAACGGTAAAAGTTACTGCTGTTTGATTTAAGAGACTTGTCCTTACAAGACCTTACGAGTACCCGGATATAAAGTATGAGCTGAGTGTATTTTCCCAAAGGGCCAGTACCGTAAGAAGAACCAGGCCTTGTGTCGGTACGCATTTCCTATGTTAGGGCTTCTAAATTCCATGGCATTCATGGCGCCACGCAGCTTGCCTCTTGTCGTGGCCAATTCCCTGCCACGCGCCCCGCTGCAAAATGAATTCCTTATCTACGTTGCATTGCTCGCAACATCCCGCCGAAAGGCTTGCTTTCAAGGCGAGGCGAATCATAATAGGTCATCCAAGGCTTCGGCATCGCAGGTGTCGTACACAACCCCCACGTCACCCCTCCCTTCATGCGCTGCGTTCACTCGCGCCACGCGCACCACGCGCGGTAAGGAAAGCATTTGCCTCGTGCTGGCTGCTCGTGATCACCCGCGCCTAAACCGCACCATTCAGGACCCGCGAATGGCGCCAATTTCTCGTATCGTCAAGTAATCTTCAGAAGCACCATGAGCATTATTCCGCTCTTCCCGTTGCCTTTCCGACCTCTCCCTCCCGCACTCGCCGCCGTCACATCCGCTGTCAACGCCACGCTGCACAATTCCGCACGTTCCGCTCGCATTTCCGAAAATTACGGAAGCCCGTCGTTGCCGAGTTTATCGCCACGTCGGCACCTTGAGTGTGGTGGATTCGTGCTTTGTCGTTTACCAGGAGCGTCGCGCTCGAGACTTCACTACTATCAGACGCTGCGTAGTTCAGGCGCAACGGTCGGCATTCACAAGGTTGTAACACCGGCGTCTTGCGTCTCGTCCCGGCCAATTGCATCTAGAGCAGGCAGCACCTTCGCAGCAACTTCCGGCTCCATTTCAGCTACCAGTAGTGATACGAATAGTGCGGAGTTTGAATCAGGTAGTACCTCGGCGGAAGTTGCGGCGGGGATGGCGGCGGCGGCGGACGCGAAGGGTCGCGGCGGCGAGGGCATCGCGATCGTGTGGCTGCGCAGCGACCTGCGCGTGCACGACAACGAGGCGCTGCTGCGCGCGTGGCAGGCGGCGGCGATCGCGGTGCCCGTGTACTGCTTCGACCCGCGCTGCTTCTCCACCACCCACAATTTCGGCTTTCCGAAGACGGCAGGTGCGTTTTTAACGCAAGGAACGGTGTATTCGTTGCTGGTGGAAAAGGGGAGGTGTCGACAGACTTGCCTCTGGTAGATTGTTTGTCTGGATCAGTACCAGACGCGACCCTCTGGTTCGGCCTGACGCGACCCTCTGGTTCGGCCAGACGCGACCCTCTGGTTCGGCCAGACGCGACCCTCTGGTTCGGCAAGACGCGACCCTCTGGTACACAGCCCAAATAGGTACTTGAATTTGGAGTCAAACGGGGGCTGACCTGTCATCCCCACTTCCCCTCCACCCTCACCTCCCCACACCATCCCTCCTTCACCTTCTCCCTCTCCCCTTTCTGCCCCCTTCCCCCGCCTCCCCCGTCCTCCCTCTCCCCCTCATCCCCCGCCAGCCCAACGTGCACGTTTCCTGCTGGAGAGCGTGGCGGACCTGAGGCAGCGCCTGCAGGGGATGGGGTCGGAGCTGGTCGTGCGGGTGGGGCCGCCTGAAACGGTGCTGCCCGCCATGGCGGCGGCTCTCAACGCGCATCTGGTGGGCCCTGCATGCTGTGTGTGTGCTCTGTGTGGCTCTGTGTGGCTCTGTGTGGCTGTGCTGAGTGTGTGCTGTGGCTGTGTTGTTGCTGCGCTGTGTGCTTGTGTAGTGATGGGTGTGTGTGCCTGAACTATGCCCACCTTTTTGTATATATGTTTATACACATACATTTATGTCCATATATACATACATATAAACATATATATATGTAAAGATATATTTTTTCTTCTGGGTGTTTCAGGTGGTGGCTCAGGCGGAAACAACAGACGAGGAGCTCAGGGTGGAGAGGAACCTCAAGCACGCACTAAACAATGTGACTATAACGAGGGCCACAGGAGGACCAACGGCGGCTCAAGAAAGACCCGCGGCAGATACTGCCAACGGTCGCCGCCCGAAGCTGGATCTGATATGGGGGCTGCCATGTACCACGTGGATGATCTGCCATTCGCTCCTGCCAACCTTCCTGACATCTACACTCAGTTCCGGAAAGTGAGTCGGGCTATAGAGGGGATAATTGTAGTGCTTGTTGAACATCGTCTTACATCTGATATGGGGGCTGACCATGTACCACGTGGATGATCTACCATTCGCTCCTGCTTCCCTGCCTGACATCTACACACAGTTCCGGAAAGTGAGTCAGGCTATACAGGGGATACTGTAGCAAGGTGGATACACTGGATTCTCAACAGGCAGCTTCTTTGTGACCTTTCTGTGGCTGTCAGCACAGCCCTGTCTTGGTGTATTTCTTACTGTGACGCATTGTGTCTTACCAGGCAAATTAGACCGATTCCCCCAAACCAAGGTCTGTCCCCCCAAACCAAGGTCAATCCCCCCCTTGCTGAAAGCAATGCGGCAATCACCCTGTCCTCGTCTCCCCTTTGGTTCCTTCTGTTCCACCCTCCCTCACCTCTCTCCTCAGGCGGTGGAAACCAAGGCCAAGGTCCGCCCTCCCCTAGCCATGCCTGCCAGCCTCGGACCGTTCCTCTCTGCCAAAGCTGTTCACAGGATCGGCGGTTTGGGCTCCCTGCCTTCTCTGGCAGACCTCGGGATTGACGACCCGCCACCACAGGTGCCTCTGCTCTGGCTTTGCTCACTTTCGTACGTACCTTTCAAGAATGTGCATCGTGTGGCGTTTCTTGGTTGAATGCAATCCAGTATAGCGGGGGGCGCTTTTAGTGAGTACGATACAATAACCATGATTTGATTCCGTCCCCTTCCCTTCCTGATTCTCAACTCCCATGAGGCAGGACTCAAGGGGTGTGCTACCCTTCAGGGGCGGGGAAACAGCAGCACTGGCTTGGGTGGATTTTGAGGCGCCTCAAAAAGGGGCGGGGAAACAGCAGCACTGGCTCGGGTGGAGGAGTATGTGTGGCAGCGGGATTGGATTACGGAGTTTAAACAATAAATATTCAGCTGTTTTGATTGATTGATTTCTTGCCTTCCTGCTTCCCACCTTCCTTAAACCAGGACCCCAGGGGCGTGCTGCCGTTCAGGGGCGGGGAGACAGCAGCACTGGCTCGGGTGGAGGAGTATGTGTGGCAGAGGGATTGCATTAAAGAGTACAAGCTGACTCGCAACGGCATGCTGGGGGCGGATTACAGCACCAAGCTGTCTCCATGGCTGGCGCATGGGTGCATCTCTGCTCGTTTCATCCATTCTGAGGTGTGTCAGTTACAGTTCAGAGGTGTTTATTGTGGTGGAGGAGAGGGAGAGAGGGAGTGCAACGGCATGTTGGAGGCGGATTATAGCACCAAGCGCTATGGCTGGCTCATGGCTGCATCTCTGCCCGGTTCATCCATTCAGAGGTGTGTGATGCGGTCACAAAGGATGTGTTGTGGTGCGGCAAGGTACCGGTCGGTGGGATGAATGCAGGGAGTGTAACGGCATGGTGCGGGTGGGCAGCAGCACCAAGTTGGCTCCTCGGCTGACGCATGGGTGTGTTTCTGCCTGCTTTTGCGAAGCCTGGTTCAACTCAATCGCGTTTGTGTACTGCACCCCTGAAACACGCAGTAATGCCCTGAAACACGCAGTAATGCCCTGAAACACGCAGTAATGCCCTGAAACACGCAGTAATGCCCTGAAACACGCAGTAATGCCCTGAAACACGCAGTAATGCCCTGAAACACGCAGTAATGCCCTGAAACACGCAGTAATGCCCTGAAACACGCAGTAATGCCCTGAAACACGCAGTAATGCCCTCAAACACGCAGTAATGCCCTGAAACACGCAGTAACGCCCTGAAACACGCAGTAATGCCCTCAAACACGCAGTAATGCCCTGAAACACGCAGTAATGCCTTCAAACACGCAGTAATGCCCTGAAACACGCAGTAATGCCCTCAAACACGCAGAAATGCCCTCAAACACGCAGTAATGCCCTCAAACACGCAGTAATGCCCTGAAACACGCAGTAATGCCCTGAAACACGCACACGCAGTAATGCCTTCAAACACGCAGTAACGCCCTGAAATACGCAGTAATGCCCTCAAACACGCAGTAATGCCCTGAAACACGCAGTAATGCCCTGAAACACGCAGTAATGCCCTGAAACACGCAGTAATGCCCTGAAACACGCAGTAATGCCCTGAAACACGCAGTAATGCCCTGAAACACGCAGTAATGCCCTGAAACACGCAGTAATGCCCTGAAACACGCAGTAATGCCCTGAAACACGCAGTAATGCCCTCAAACACGCAGTAATGCCCTGAAACACGCAGTAATGCCCTGAAACACGCAGTAATGCCCTGAAACACGCAGTAATGCCCTGAAACACGCAGTAATGCCCTGAAACACGTAGTAATGCCCTGAAACACGCAGAAATGCCCTCAAACACGCAGTAATGCCCTCAAACGCGCAGTAATGCCCTGAAACACGCAGTAATGCCCTCAAACACGCAGTAATGCCCTGAAACACGCAGTAATGCCCTGAAACACGCAGTAATGCCCTCAAACACGCAGTAATGCCCTCAAACACGCAGTAATGCCCTCAAACACGCAGTAATGCCCTGAAACACGCAGTAATGCCCTGAAACACGCAGTAATGCCCTGAAACACGCAGTAATGCCCTGAAACACGCAGTAATGCCCTGAAACACGCAGTAATGCCCTGAAACACGCAGTAATGCCCTGAAACATGCAGTAATGCCCTGAAACACGCAGAAATGCCCTCAAACACGCAGTAATGCCCTGAAACACGCAGTAATGCCCTGAAACACGCAGTAATTGCCCTGAAACACGCAGTAATGCCCTGAAACACGCAGTAATGCCCTGAAACACGCAGTAATGCCCTGAAACACGCAGTAATGCCCTGAAACACGCAGTAATGCCCTCAAACACGCAGTAATGCCCTGAAACACGCAGTAATGCCCTGAAACACGCAGTAATGCCCTGAAACACGCAGTAATGCCCTCAAACACGCAGTAATGCCCTCAAACACGCAGTAATGCCCTGAAACACGCAGTAATGCCCTCAAACACGCAGTAATGCCCTCACACACGCAGTAATGCCCTCAAACACGCAGTAATGCCCTCAAACACGCAGTAATGCATGTCTTGGTTACTGTTGAGGCGCCTCAAAAGTCGTCTCTTATCCCGCAATTTTTTAGGCGCCTCAAAAGCCCCTGAAACATGCATGAATGCCCTCAAACATGCAGCATATGCACGTGTGTGCCTGTCTTGGTGTGCCTTTCTTGGTGTGCTGTCCTCATCTGCAGGTGCTGCGATACGAGAAGGAGCGAGTCGCAAATGAGTCCACATACTGGTATGTGCCGTCGTGCATGAATCACCTCACACACTGCTACTCCACTTACTTGTACCCCTTTGACTTATACCTCACTAGATAATGAACCTTTGAATTGTAACTTTTTAAAACGTATGCCTCCCCGAATTGTATCCCACTGAATGATAAGCCTCTGTGTAAATCGTACCTCCGTATCCCTCCCATGGAAGATTGGAAGAATGATTTGTGTACCCATGTACCCCCCCCACCACTGCAGGGTGTTGTTTGAGCTTATCTGGCGGGACTCTTCCGGTTTCTCTCCATCAAGTGCGGCAATTCCATCTTCCACTTGGGTATGTTGTCCACTCCCTTGCACCGCACTCCACCTGGCTAGCTACATCGCATTCCACTGCAGTACATCGGTCCACATGAACGTCTTCGACCTGATCACTCCTGTGCAATAATCCTGCTCATTCCCGTCACCTGTGTTCCCTTTTGTGCCGCCTGCGTCCTCTCCACCACCCCTTCCTCTCCACCTGTCCATCCGTTTGGGTTGCATCAGGTGGGCCCCGCAGGCTGCAATTTAACAGCCGAGACTGGTCCACAAACAGAGCTCTCTTTGATGCGTGGCGGGAGGGACGGACAGGGTGAGTGTGCGGGCATGTATCAAGGGAGTGAGTGTGTGAGTGTAAGTGTTTTGAGACGTCTCAAAACATCTCTTTGAGCGAGTGAGTGTAAGTGGGAGGGCATTCTACAGTGCGAGTGAGTCAGTGGAGAAGAGAGAATGTGTGTATGTGTGTGTGCGTGCATGCATGCATGTGAACTTGTGTGCATGTGTTCTGCGGCTTGCTTCCCTGATCTCTACGTATAAATGCCCACACACATGCCGTCAGCACTTGCTAAACGGATCGTCCTTCTAAAATATCTATTTATATATTTTTTCATAATACCCACTTAACCTGCCAGGTACCCTCTGGTGGACGCCAATATGAGGGAGCTCGCTGCCACGGGCTTCATGTCCAACCGAGGCAGACAGGTGTGGTATATGCTCGGCAGGCTCACACGGGACAGGTTCAGGTTTGCCGAGCGGGGTTGGACTGAATTCCTTGCATGTGGCTTATGTGCAACTGCTTTTCCAGGTGTTGCAATTCCCTTTCACATCCCATGGTCCATGCACTCTTGTCTTCCTTTTAGGGCGACTCCCACCAATCTTTCGAACCACCCATCCATGATCCATGTTTGCATCCATGCATGTACGCTCCATGCCACAGATAGTATGCTCGTTCCTGGTGCGAGACATGGGCATGGACTGGCGTATGGGTGCGGAGTGGTTTGAGTCGCTTCTTCTTGACCACGACCCTGCTTCTAACTACGGCAACTGGACCTATGGCGCTGGTACGGTGGTGCTGGTACGGTGGTGCTGGTACGGTGGTGCTGGTACAGTGCTGGTATGGTGGTGCTGGTACAGCGCTGGTACTTAGGTATGGTGGTAGGGTATGGCCTATTGTGCTGAAAGGGGGTAGAATGGTTTGAGTCGCTCCTCCTGGACCACGACCCTGCTTCCAACTATGGCAACTGGACCTATGGCGCTGGCATGGCGCTGGTACAGTGGTAGAGTGGTAGGGTAATTGGACCTATGGTGGTGTGAGTCACTTATCCTCGACCACGATCCTGCCTCAAACTATGGAAACTGGACCTATGGCGCTGGTATGGTGTTGGTACAATGTTGGTACGGTGCTGGTACGGTGTTGGTATGGTGTTGGTAGGGTGTTTGTGCGGTGTTGGTACGGTGTTGGTACGGTGTTTGTGCGGTGTTGGTACGGTGTTGGTACGGTGTTTGTGCGGTGTTGGTACGGTGTTGGTACGGTGTTTGTGCGGTGTTGGTACGGTGTTGGTACGGTGTTGGTACGGTGTTGGTATGGTGTTGGTACGGTGTTGGTACGGTGTTTGTGCGGTGTTGGTACGGTTGGTACAGTGTTGGTACGGTGTTTGTGCGGTGTTGGTACGGTGTTGGTACGGTGTTGGTACGGTGTTGGTACGGTGTTGGTACGGTGTTGGTACGGTGTTGGTACGGTGTTGGTACGGTGTTTGTGCGGTGTTGGTACGGTTGGTACGGTGTTGGTACGGTGTTGGTACGGTGTTTGTGCGGTGTTGGTACGGTGTTGGTACGGTGTTGGTACGGTGTTGGTACGGTGTTTGTGCGGTGTTGGTACGGTGTTGGTACGGTGTTTGTGCGGTGTTGGTACGGTTGGTACGGTGTTGGTACGGTGTTGGTACGGTGTTGGTACGGTGTTGCTATGGCGCTTGTACAGTGTGGCGATGAGGCTGGGATGGCACTGGTAGGGTGGTGGAACGGTGGTTTGTATGGTGTGTCGCATATGTGGTAGGCTGGTAGAGCAACAGGACCTATGGTGATTGTATGGTGGTACTATGTGTGGAAACGTGGATTTTTTTCATGTGCAGTGATGGGATGGAATGATGGGATGTTGAGTGATGGAATGATGGGATGTTGAGTGATGGAATGATGGGATGTTGAGTGATGGAATGATGGGATGTTGAGTGATGGAATGATGGGATGTTGAGTGATGGAATGATGGGATGTTGAGTGATGGAATGATGGGATGTTGGGATTTTGTGGGAAGATGGGACGTTGAGAGAATGGGAAGATGATGGGTGATGGGGATGTTGGAGGATGGGGTGTTGTTAAGACTGGAGATGAGGATTGTGGGATATTTGATGGGATGTTGGAGGATGGGATGCTGTTAAGACTGGAGATGAGGATTGTGGGATATTTGATGGGATGTTGGAGGATGGGATGCTGTTAAGACTGGAGATGAGGATTGTGGGATATTTGATGGGATGTTGGAGGATGGGATGCTGTTAAGACTGGAGATGAGGATTGTGGGAATGATGCAAGGATGGTGTCATACAATGATGGTAGTATGGGTCTGGATGGTCACAATGCTTCTGTGTCATCCCCGCCCTCCCCCACCTCCTTGGCATCACTGCAGGAGTGGGCAATGATCCCAGGGAGGATCGATACTTCAGCATTCCCAAGCAGGTGTGTGGGCTGAACATGTCGTTGTGCTTCGCAGTTGGCGTGTGGTGCTGGTTGTATGGAGAAAAAGTGTTGCGTGCCTTGCACCATTTGAGATGTTCCCATGTGTTCTATTTCCTTACCACCCCTCTCAAATTCTCTTCATGCGCGTTGTAACGCAGGCGACCACGTATGATCCCAATGGTGACTACGTTGCTCATTGGATACCTGAGCTAGCAGCCCTCCCTCCTTCCCTGCGTCACTCTCCCTACCGCCTCTCTCCTTCCGAGCGGGCTGTGTACAAATTGGATGCCTTAGGATCGAGCTACCCCTTGAAGCCTGTGGTGCCATTGAAATTTGGCGGTGGTGCTGCTGGTCCTAGGGATTCTAGGAATGGAGGAGGTGGTGGTAGAGGAAGGGGGTCCAACAACAATGTTAATGAGCGTCGTTCACTGAGGGGTGGGAGGCAAGGGAGGGGTGGGAGTGACTCACGAAAGGGTGGAAAGGCACAGTTCTAGAAGGATTTTTTTTTCAATAATGCTGATATTATGGCTGGATGAGTGAGCTTTGTTAATCTGCACATTTGTTCATGTTCAACACTTCATCAGCAATTTTTATTTCAGTTATTTGATCGGTTTCATGAATGATTTCTTTCCATTATGTGTAACTCGCACGACATATGTCAGCCAATTCCGCTTTGTGCAAAGCGGTTTCGCGAAAGATCGTGATTCGCGCAGAACAGCTCACTAACGACGCAGATGACTCAGCCTTTCGCAGAATGGAGTGCCAAATCCTTCAGTCAGAAAGATAAGCCAGTTTCAGGATCAGGCAGGGGGAAACTCATAACAGCCATGATTTGTCTCGTCGGTAATGACCGCGACCAGCTTTCCATGATTCTGTGACCCTGGCTTGAATATTTTCTAATCACGGGTACAATTTCGCGCCTTATTAGAGACGTATCGGACGTGTTCTCGTTTTTGCTGGTAGGATGGAGTCCGGCGTTGGGCCTCCTCTCTCTGGAAAGCACGATCAGCGAGAGTCAGGAGTCGACAATAAGGGTTCGGAAGATTCTGGTAGTGGAGGACCTAAATGGTTAAATCAAGGCGTTATGATCAAGGCGGCTTGCGTGATTGGCGGCGCGTACATATTGAAGAGATTGATTAGTCGGGCTAGGAGGGATCACTGTCGCGAAGTTACTAATCTGTTGACTGGAGAGAAGGTAGCTTACTCGTTAACCTTATTTTCTGCGTCGAATTTACTAAACCTAGTAGCTAACTATAACTGATTCTATTTCCCTGCAGTTTTCAGCAGACCAAGCAGCACGCGATCCTGCTAACTTTTTCAATCTCAGGTGCTTGAACTTGACTTTAGTTGCGTAATTGGGCGACACGGAAATCGTAGACCCGGCCGTTCCCTATCTTCCTAGTCGCTGGTTCGTTTCTTGGCTCCAGGCTTCATGTTCTCCCTCCAATACTCATTCTTCTTTTCCCGGCCTTTTTGTGTAATGAGTCTTCGTCCCAGGCTCGATTCTTGTCCTGCAGCCGTTTTGGAAGATGGCTCTCGTGTCCTTTACTGCGAGCAGGTATTCAACCTAGGTAGAGTCCGAAAGCGCACCATTCCATCTTGTACGTTGACAGGTACGTTCTTCCTCATGCGTTCCTCACCCTTTCCCACCTCTCCCATCATTGCCACGAGAAAATTGTTTGTCCGATGTCAATGGTCTCATCTGGCGCTTGAACTGAACTTCAAATGGTCGCCTGTTCATTCTGTGCGCATCTGTGCAGGCCTTCTGGAGGTCACCTGAAAAACCTTTTCGCCAGGTACTTTTCGGCCCTTACCATTTTGCCCAGCCGTTTCATCATGCTTTGTACTCACTGTGTCGTCACTCCTGCTCTCTCAGTTAAATTCCTGATTCTTATGCCTGACTTCCCTCTGCATGCCTGCAGCGCTTCTATGTTGTGAGGCCATGCGCCAAAGAGATGAAGTGTGATGCTGAGGTGAGATAGGTTCCTGAGGAACTCAGTCAACATCTAACCTCGTCGGTTGCTGGTCACACCACAAGCATCCTGTACCTGTTTCCTCTCTCTGTTAAGCCACCGCAAAAATGATGTGACAGCTGTGACAACTCACGTGCAGGTGGCCAGCTATGCTCTTCGAGATGTTGAAGAGTACCGGAATTTTTGTGAGCGCCCAAAGAATCAGCGGCCACAACCAGAGGAGGTCATCGGGGTAAGCCCCAATTGCCATGATTGTTGTTGATCTGAAGCCCGGCTGGGACACATAGTGTTCAGTGGCAGCTCAATCTGTTTTCACACGACTAACCTAATGGTCTTCTGCTCTCCAGGATATTTCGGAGCACCTTGCCACGGTGTACCTCTCGCGATGTGAGGGAGGACGGAAGTGTGCATATGAAGGCTCAACGCCTCCAGGAGGCTTTCCAAACAACTGGGTATGTCATTCAACATGTGCGTGTTGCAGCTGTAACCTCATTATAGATAGACACATCTCGTCTCTTCAGTGTGCTCCATCCACCAGTGCGGCCGTTGGATGCAACAACAGGCAGCTCAGCCTTTCTTTGTTTCCTTTTTCCTTGTTTATTTTGTGGTGGAGCTGGGTGACCGGGTGTGGGAACGTTCTGATGCCCCATTCACTTAGGCAGAACGGAGCTACTCGGTGCACTTCAGAGCTCACTCTGTTTCGCAGTGGAGAAGTCCACAGCTGGGACAGAGGCTACAAAGATGACGGGGTGCAGGTAAATTTGCATCTGCTTCTTGTACACTTGTGGTCTTGTTTCTGGTCTATTACTCAACAATCTACGCTGTCCAATGTGTCTTCCATTTTTCCGCCTGGCAGGTGTGGGGTCCGAAGTCAGCTCCTTACGAGTATAAGCCGAAGCACATGGTTAGTAGTAACTATAGGTCGAATGAAGCTGACCAGGGAAAAAAATAGGTTTGGTCATTCAACGTGTGGTACATTAGATTGGTTAGAGCTCATAATCTAGAAGTCTTTTTTACATATTTTTGTGCTAGATTCTTGCAGCTAGGATGTTACATTTAGAGCAGTAACACTTTCTGAAGAAATTGAGCTGCACCTTTCTATAGATTGGTGTTGGCATTTGTTTTTGCTGGAAAGAAAATCACGAGCATGTGGCCAAACTCGATGTGGGTGGTTTGTCCTAAGAAAATCACAAGCATGGGCCAAACTTGGTGTGGGTGGTTTGTAGTAAGAAACTGTCTGAAGTTGATCCACTATCGTTCACCTCAATTCGATCTTTGTCCCTCTAATTAGCTGCTTGAGTATCCAATATCGAGGCTTTTCAAACTCTGAAATGTGCAAACTGAAGGCAAGAATCCAAACTGTTTTGTCAGCATGACGCATTTTGTGAAAACGCGGCACCGATTCCCGCCAAGACTGAGAATCTTTAATATCAGAATTTCTGCCTTGGTAAACCCTGTCCACCCCCGAATGCACACTGCCTCCTAACTTGACCAGGTTGGGTGTGAAAGCTATGAAGTACAGTAAATGAATGTCGAACACATCCACACACACAACACTAAGAGCAGCCAAAGGTAAGTGTCGACAAATGACTTATAACAGACGAACTTATTGTTACCAGCTCTGATTTCAAGGTTAGTTAAGGAGTACTGTCTCTTCAAAAACGGCAACACCCTAATTTTATCAACCTGCTCTGACTTTCGCCCCTTCCCGCGCATTCAACCTTTCTCTGTGCTGTGCAATTCAACGATCAACAGGTTGGCGTCACTCTGAAGTAACTTCAAGGTGTCCTTGAAGAGTCTTTCTCATAAGCTCGAAACGATATTTTCTGGGACCTCGAGCGAGTCGTCGTGCCATAATGCTTTTGTTCGACGTGCAGCACTGTCCCTCACGAATAATGCTCAATGCTCATGCTTGCTTATTGTCTTTCTACTTTAGGGTTTCCGCACCTCGGTTGGAGAGGTAAGGAAATTCCTTGCGTTTGCGCCACGAACTTTAAGCTTCGACTTTGAGCTGTGTGTGTCTTCTAAGACCTTGAGTTTCTACATTAGCAGTCGCGTAAATCCGATAAACCAATTGTTACCTAGTCAGTGCGTTTCTGCACCACGCGACCTCAGCTTCGTCAGCCTAATTTTGTTGTGCGCTTGCTCCCTTTTTGAACAAACGGACAGCTATCGTTTGGTGTACTGCCGTCACTACCATCTATCTTGCACAGCTAGGGTGCAATACCTAAACTACGCGTTTCTCGATTTTACTACTTCGGTTTAGCCTTGGTTGGGAGGATTAGATTCGATAGCATCTTTAACCATAGTTAACAGTTCGCCAGGCTTAGCGGACCCGTCTTTTAGGGTTAGACTCCTCCTCGGGAATGCCGCCGTCGATTCAACAGCAGCTCTCCGGCCCCCCTGCGGCGCCAACCGGCACCGCTCTGAACCGAGATCGGCTGATGAACCGGCGAAGGGACCGGCGGGAAAATCAGGAGAACGAAGGAGTGGCGCAAATGGCGAATAATCTGAAACGGCGCCGGGAGGTTAGGGTTCGGCTAAGAGGCCTTCAAGCGCAAGTTGCGGGTAAGATTTTTGCCAAGGATTTTTAATTGTTTGAAATGGCTGAATGTTGGCGTTTTTCTGTTACTTCTATTCTCTAGGCATTGACATCACATTCTTGAACACTGACGTTTGTTCTTATTGTTGTGACGTTCTTTGTTGTATAATCATTTCCATTACCTTTTTCTCTTAGAATCAAATTGTTCCGCTTTATAGGCACGGCGGTACCAGCTTCACTCGTTAATAACCCTTTTTTTTTCAGATTGACATACTCAGCTCTTACTACTCGCATTCTCATTCGTCTGATACCGACATCCATTCGTCTTGTTCGTGGCCATGCATGCTTGTAACGCCTAGCACACGTCTACCTTCTTCCCTTACGAGAAGTTTCAACAAAAACACAGAAGTCAAAACCGTCAGTACCCTGACAGTGAACCAGTATCAGGAAGGCGTAAGGGTGATGTTTATAACAATACGATTACCCTATTTCTCCCCCCATCCCGCACCACCAGAGTGCTCCAACCGCAACGAGCTGAGCATTGGGTCGAGCAAGTTTGAGGAGATTCTCGAGACAGCCAACAAGCTGACAACGAACCCTGGCGTGGCCTCGGATCTGAAGCTGCGGGAGAAGCTCATGGACGCGGACGTGCTCGACGGCCTCTCGCAGGTAGCTACACTTCGCATTTTTTTTTAACAAGTTTTTATTTAATGTGAAAAACACTCCTTTTTTAAAACATATGCAAGGTGCACTTGTATTGCACCAGTGTTTTCGACAGTAACACGTGCTGGGCGGCCTCTTGCAGGTGCTGGCGCACTCCACGGAAGCGCTGCTGCGCCGCCACGCTGCCACGCCTGAGCAGTTCGTCGCCGCGCTCAGAGCCAAGTACCTCGTCCGCGCAGGGCTGTGCGGACATGGGGCGCGTGGGGGAGGCGCACGGGGGTGGACGCGGGGAGGAGGGGAGACGGAAGGAGGGGAGGGGGGGGAAGGAACAGGAGAAGAGGAAGAGGAGGGGGAGATGGATTGGGCGAGGATGGGGAGGGAGTTTGGTTTGGAGCTGGTGCGGCCTGCTTGGACGATTGGCACCATGTGAGTCTTTAAAACGTGATCTTTGAGTCGACTCATAAGGCACCTTATGGGGAGGGAGTGTTTTGAGTCGACTCATAAGGCACCTCGTGGGGAGGGAGTTTGGGTTGGCACCTCCTGTTTTCAGTCTCTACACCTTGCCAACACCCCTCCCCCACCCAACCCCCCTTCTCTTCCCAGCGTAGCCCTCCAACCCCTATACCACTCTCTCAACATACCTCCTCCCTCCCTTGAACCACCCGCTCTTCCCCCTGTCTTCCCACTGTCTCCCCCTGTCACCCCCCTGTCTTCCCCCTGTTTCCCCCTGACTCCCCCTGTCTCCCCCTGTCACCCCCCTGTCTTCCCCCTGTTTCCCCCTGACTCCCCCTGTCTCCCCCTGTCACCCCCCTGTCTTCCCCCTGTTTCCCCCTGACTCCCCCTGTCTCCCCCTGTCACCCCCCTGTCTTCCCCCTGTTTCCCCCTGACTCCCCCTGTCTCCCCCTGTCTCTCCCCAATCACCTGGTGCGGAGCAGGCTGGGGCCCATGGAAGCGGAGGCGCCCAAGCGCAGGGTGCAGGCAGTCAGGCGCAAGAGGGACGCGGTGGGGGCCACTGTGGTGCCGGATCAGGTGAGCTGGTTACCAGCTGTGGTGCATGTACAGGCGAGCTGGTTACCACGTGGGTTTTGAGGCGCCCAAGCGCAGGCAGGGGGTGCGAGAGGGAGACAGTGGGTACCATGGTGGTGCCCGCGCGGGTGAGCCTTGCGCCCCTCGAAAGCGCAGGTGGGTGGGGTGGTTACCAGGATCTTGCGCAGGTGAGCTTTGAGGCGCTTGATAAGCGCACAGATGAGCTGATTTGATTATTAGCCGTGGTTTCCAGCTGTGGTTTCCAGCTGTGGTGCCAGCGCCGAGCTGATTACTAGCTGTGGTGATGGAGGGGAAGAGAAGCGGAACCAAGCACAGCACCATGTGATTACCAGCACCTGCTTGGACGATTGGCACCATGTGATTGGCACCATGTGATTGGCACCATGTGATTGGCACCATGTGATTGGCACCATGTGATTACTAGCTGTGGTGATGGAGGGGAAGAGAAGCGGAACCAGCACAGCACAAGTGTTAGCAGCTGAAGAGGTCCCTGTAGCACATCTCACCTCTTCAGCTGTGTGCAGCATTGCGCGCAGCTGCAATCGCTCACTCACCTCATCCGATGCTCATTCTCTCACTGCTCCTTCCTTTCCCCCCTCCCTCCCCTCCTCCCCTCCCCCCTCCCCTTTCCCCCCTCCCTCCCCTCCTCCCCTCCCCCCTCCTCTTTCCCCACTCCACTCTCTCCTCCCCACCTTCGCTTCTGTTGTCGCCCCCCTTGTGTGCCTGCCTGATCCTGTGCGTGTGCTTCTGAGCAGATGAACAAGCAGCAAGGGAAGGAAGGGGAAGCAGGAGAGGGCAGTGGCAGCAAGGAGACAGCAACGGAGGCGACAGTGAAGGAGATGTACCGGCGGCTCAAGAGGGCCCCACGGCACCGTGTGCAGCTGCCGCAGCTGCTGCTGTCGCGCACGTCGTTTGCTCACACGGTTGAGAACATGTTTGCGCTCTCTTTCCTTGTGAAAGAGGGGCGCGTGGGGCTCACGCCTGATCCAACGTTTGGGGCTGCTGTTGGTGAGTGTCAGTCAGACTGCGTCTGCTTGTTGTCCCTGCTATGCATGCGCGTCCTTTGCGCACACAGTGGAGAACATGTTCGCGCTCTCCTTCCTTGTGAAAGAGGGCCGCGTGGGGCTCACTCCCGATCCGACTTTTGGGGCTGCCATTGGTGAGTTTGACCACGTTTGGTTCTGTTCGCTGCTTGTGTTTTTTTTTTTTTTTTTTTTTGGGTGAAAGCCCACTCACAAAGAGAAACCTCCAGGTCAGAATCGTGTAGCTTTTTTTCCATTCAGTGAATGCTTGCGGGCCCATCTAGAGTTAAGATTATCCCTCTTGATCCCGTGTTATTTACACGATTAATTTCATGTCACCTGCCCGACAGACCTTCGCCCACCTGTGGAGCCTGCATCAGGAAGCGCGGAGCCCAAGGGGCAGTTTATAATGCGCCTTGATATCAACGACTGGAAGGTGAGGGGGACAGGGTGGGGTGAGGGAGATGGGGTGAGTTATGAGTCGACCCAAAAGGCAGTGCGCAGCCTAATGGGCAGTTTATAGTGCGCCTTGACATGACATCAACGACTGGAAGGTGAGGGGGACAAGATGGGGTAAGGGGGACAGATCGAGATGAAGGGGACGGGAAGGTGCTGAATTACAGTTTGTAGTAGATTTGTAGCTGTGGCACTAGAGTGATTTGTCTAACACGCCTGATTCGTCTGCTCTCTTTCTTTCCCTTTGACCACACATTTCTTGCAGAAACTGTGACTCAAAGTCATCACGCTTGATTCGTCTACTCTCTCCTTTTCCTTTGACCACACATTTCTTGCAGAAACTGTGCGAGGCGGTGCCTGATGGTGCAGAAGTTATGACTGCACGAGAAGGGGGGAGAGGGGGAGGGGGAGGCAGAGCGGGAGGGCGAGGAGGAGGAGGAGGAGGAGGAGGAGGAGGAGGAGGAGGAGGAGGAGGAGGAGGAGGAGGGGAGGAGGAGGAGGAGGAGGAGGAGGAGGAGGAGGAGGAGGAGGAGGAGGAGGAGGAGGAGGAGGAGGAGGAGGAGCAAGAGATGCAGGAGGGGCGGGAGGTGCAGGAGAAGGGCCGGGAGGGGCAGGAGAGGCTGGGGAGCAGGGGGAGCGGGAGAAGCAGGAGGGGCAGATGGAGCTTTGTATGAGACGCAGCAGCTGTGGCAGTCGCAGCAGCATCATGCGCAGCAGCAGCGCCAGGAGGCTCCAGTTCGCAAGATCAGTCGGAATCGGGCAAGGGAGACGGAGAGCCAGGGAGTGGGGAGGGCCGGGGGTATGGGGGGAGGGAGGGTGAAGGGGAGGAAGTGGAAGAGGAGGACCTTGGTGGGGGTGGCAGAGTGAGGAAGGTGAGAAGGATTGGTGACTTGTGAATGGACTCAGAAGTCATGATGAATGGTGATGTGGCAGGTTGAGGTAGCTGAGCAGGTTTGCTTGACGATGGTGTGGTGATGAATGGTGATGTGTTTGGGTGATGCTGATGGGGTGATTTGAGGGTGGGACGTGGGCAAGAGGAGGGGTGTGTGAAGTGGTGGATTCAGTCGCGGGAGGCACCAGTTTGCAGAATTGACTGGGGCTGGTGATGCTGGTGGTGACGGTGGTGGTGGAAATTGTTGTTGTGCTAGAGTGGTGCTGCCGGTGCTAACATAAGGTTGTTGTTGGGTTGTGATTGAGCTGATTTGACTGACAGGAGTGCCACTGCTGCTTCGACGGCTGCTGCTGCTGCTGCTGCTGGCGCAAGTGGTGGTGTTGCTGATGGTGGCAGCTGTTGCAGTGCTGATGCCGCTGGGCTGATGGGGCTTGTTAGATCGTAAGCGTTGAGAAGATCAACTGACCTTGGTGTTGCCGCCTCTGCGGCTGCAGCTGCTGTTGCTGCATGTGACGATGAGTGATGGGTAGATGGCTGGCGGGAGGAGCAGCTGACCAGCGAGCCCTATAGTTTAGATCAAGGAAATAAACTTTTTTGGGGGTTTAGGAAGGCGAGAGAGCTTGTGCCAAGTGTAGGTGGTATCTTGTGTGTAATGGTTTGTTGCAAAAGCTTTTGAGACAACTCAAAAGCTTGTAGGGGCTGAGTCGGGCTAAAGCTAGCAGGGTAGTGGCTTCTTTGGAATAACCGGTAGTACGTAGGTTGTAAAAGCTTGCCTTATCCAGCTTGTTCATTTCCATGCATTACTTTCTCCAGCAGGAGTTATGTTGGTGACGAACGGGCTTGTAATCCACCTGTAGTTGAAACTAACAATCTACTATGCAGGTGAGGGTGTGGTACGACATCAGGTGTTAACTGCTTCGAGCCTACTCCGAGCTTAGCGCAGGCCTACTCCACGCCTACAGCAAGCCTACCCCACGTCTACTCCTTGGATATTCCACGAGTTCTGTTTCAGCTGCGTCTGTGTGTGCATGTGTTTTTGAGCTCATATACGACCTTGAACTATTTTCCAAGCAGGCCCTTGCCTGAACATCCCCTCCTAGGCAACCCCTTCTCTCTTCTACACAACCTGTCTCCAGATATCCCAACTGAACATCCTGCCCGCCTATGCATCCCCTCCTCAGTACATCCTGCCCACCTATGCATCCCCTGAGAACATTAACTTCTCATCTCTTCTGAGCAGCTTGAGAAGCATATGCAGATGCAAAGGCAGCTGCAGTTTCTGCGGCTCCTCTGGAGTCGACTCGAAGGTGATTTTCTAAATAGTTTGGGCAGCCGCAGCTTGCAGGAAGGAGCGCAGGTCACTGCCGTCCTCCACTAGCTGCCAGGGCACCTGTAGTGATGAGGTTGAGAGAGAGAGAGGGGGGGGGGGGGCACAAGAGGAGAGGAGATGCGGCAAAGGAGGATTGTGGGAGGAGTGGAATCAGCAAGCAGGTCACTGTCGCCCTCCACTAGCTGCCAGGGCACCCGGGAGTGATGAGGTTGAGATGAGAGAGGAGCACAGAGAGGAGGGCAGAGAGGAGGGCAGAGAGGAGGGCAGAGAGGAGGGCAGAGAGGAGGGCAGAGAGGAGGGCAGAGAGGAGGGCAGAGAGGAGGGCAGAGAGGAGGGCAGAGAGGAGGGCAGAGAGGAGGGCAGAGAGGAGGGCAGAGAGGAGGGCAGAGAGGAGGGCAGAGAGGAAGGCAGAGAGGAGGGCAGAGAGGAGGGCAGAGAGGAGGGCAGAGAGGAGGGCAGAGAGGAGGGCAGAGAGGAAGGCAGAGAGGAGGGCAGAGAGGAGGGCAGAGAGGAGGGCAGAGAGGAAGGCAGAGAGGAGGGCAGAGAGGAGGGCAGAGAGGAGGGCAGAGAGGAGGGCAGAGAGGAGGGAAGAGAGGAGGGCAGAGAGGAGGGCAGAGAGGAGCGGCACAAATGAGTTGCGGAATACAAGCAGTTCACCAGGGGTGCCATGGCACCCGTGGTGGTGAGGAGGATAAGGGAGACAGGAGGGCAGAGGGGTGATGCGGCATGGTTGGGGGCGGCAGGGCACACACCTGGGCGGCATGGTTGGGGGCGGCAGGGCACACACCTGGGCGGCATGGTTGGGGGCGGCAGGGCACACACCTGGGCGGCATGGTTGGGGGCGGCAGGGCACACACCTGGGCGGCATGGTTGGGGGCGGCAGGGCACACACCTGGGCGGCATGGTTGGGGGCGGCAGGGTTGGCTCCGGCATCCAGCAGCAGGCAGCAAACCGAGGGGTGCTCGCCCCTTGCTGCGTTGTGCAGCGGCTGAAGGCAGGTGGAAGGGAGAAGGGGGAAGGTGACGGGGTGGGAAACAGGAGTTGCTGTTAGGAGATTCATAACGCTGAGCTGGCAGGGCGAGGGGTGTGAGGGCTGGGTGTGGTCGCCCTTTGAATCCGTACACCTCTTTCACCACCCCAGCCCTTCAATCCCACCCCTCCCCCCCTCCTACCCCTCCCACCCCTCCCACCCCACTGCTCCTCCTCTCCCCCCACCCCTCCCACCCCACTTCGCTGCTCCTCGTCTCCCTCCCATCCCTCCCACCCCACTGCACTCAGTGTCTCCATCACTGTCCGGCACCCCAACCATGTGCCTCGTCTACCAACCCACCCCACCACCGCTCACCGTGTCCCCGTCGCTGTCCTGTGCGCCTATCATGCGCTTCCGCTGCTCTGCATCACACACACTTGTCCCTCACCCCAACCTCCCACCCCTCACACCCCTCCGCTCCCTCCTCACTCCTCCCTTCTTCTCACCGTGTCCCCATCGCTGTCCTGTGCGCCTATCATGCGCCTCCGCTGCTCTGCATCACTTGCCGCCGCCAGCAGCATGGCCACCACGTGCGAGAAGCCTGGTGGGGACAAGGGAATGTAGGCAGGGCAGGTTTTTTGAGGCGCCTCAAAAGAAGCCTGGTGGGGACAGGGGAATGTAGGCAGGGCAGGACTGGGGATGGGGGTGCGTGGCGGCAGCAGCGCTGTCCTGTGCACCAATCACGCGCCTCATACTGCTCTGCATCACTTGCCGCCGCCAGCAGCATGCCCACCACGTGCGAGAAGCCTGGTGGGTGGGGGCGGCAGAAGGGAGGGGTAAGCAGGACAGGGATGGGAATGTGAGTGCAGTGAAGGAGGAGTATAGACGACTTTTGAGATAGGGACACCCCCCCCACCCATCCACCCACCCACGCACGCGCACACTCTCACCCTCCCATCCGCCCACTCACCCTCCCATCCGCCCACTCACCCTCCCATCCGCCCACTCACCCTCCCATCCGCCCACTCACCCTCCCATCCGCCCACTCACCCTCCCATCCGCCCACTCACCCTCCCATCCGCCCACTCACCCTCCCATCCGCCCACTCACCCTCCCATCCGCCCACTCACCCTCCCATCCGCCCACTCACCCTCCCATCCGCCCACTCACCCTCCCATCCGCCCACTCACCCTCCCATCCGCCCACTCACCCTCCCATCCGCCCACTCACCCTCCCATCCGCCCACTCACCCTCCCATCCGCCCACTCACCCTCCCATCCGCCCACTCACCCTCCCATCCGCCCACTCACCCTCCCATCCGCCCACTCACCCTCCCATCCGCCCACTCACCCTCCCATCCGCCCACTCACCCTCCCATCCGCCCACTCACCCTCCCATCCGCCCACTCACCCTCCCATCCGCCCACTCACCCCCATCCGCCCACTCACCCTCCCATCCGCCCACTCACCCTCCCATCCGCCCACTCACCCTCCCATCCGCCCACTCACCCTCCCATCCGCCCACTCACCCTCCCATCCGCCCACTCACCCTCCCATCCGCCCACTCACCCTCCCATCCGCCCACTCACCCTCCCATCCGCCCACTCACCCTCCCATCCGCCCACTCACCCTCCCATCCGCCCACTCACCCTCCCATCCGCCCACTCACCCTCCCATCCGCCCACTCACCCTCCCATCCGCCCACTCACCCTCCCATCCGCCCACTCACCCTCCCATCCGCCCACTCACCCTCCCATCCGCCCACTCACCCTCCCATCCGCCCACTCACCCTCCCATCCGCCCACTCACCCTCCCATCCGCCCACTCACCCTCCCATCCGCCCACTCACCCTCCCATCCGCCCACTCACCCTCCCATCCGCCCACTCACCCTCCCATCCGCCCACTCACCCTCCCATCCGCCCACTCACCCTCCCATCCGCCCACTCACCCTCCCATCCGCCCACTCACCCTCCCATCCGCCCACTCACCCTCCCATCCGCCCACTCACCCTCCCATCCGCCCACTCACCCTCCCATCCGCCCACTCACCCTCCCATCCGCCCACTCACCCTCCCATCCGCCCACTCACCCTCCCATCCGCCCACTCACCCTCCCATCCGCCCACTCACCCTCCCATCCGCCCACTCACCCTCCCATCCGCCCACTCACCCTCCCATCCGCCCACTCACCCTCCCATCCGCCCACTCACCCTCCCATCCGCCCACTCACCCTCCCATCCGCCCACTCACCCTCCCATCCGCCCACTCACCCTCCCATCCGCCCACTCACCCTCCCATCCGCCCACTCACCCTCCCATCCGCCCACTCACCCTCCCATCCGCCCACTCACCCTCCCATCCGCCCACTCACCCTCCCATCCGCCCACTCACCCTCCCATCCGCCCACTCACCCTCCCATCCGCCCACTCACCCTCCCATCCGCCCACTCACCCTCCCATCCGCCCACTCACCCTCCCATCCGCCC